TAAAATGTCATAAGCGCGATGTTTAGCATCGAATTGGGCCGCTTCATCCGGATTTAGAATCTCATAAACACAACATAATTGGGCCGTTTGTGTGTCAAAGCCGACAGTTACTGGTTTGCTTTGACAATCGGCTCAAAATACACTCGTCGCTCTCCGAAGTTTATGAAGTCGCGTTCAACTTTAAATCCTAATTAATTGCCCCGCTATAAAACATAGTTGCATGAAATTAGGATTTTCCACGAGGTTGTTTATCTCGCCGAGCGAAAAATTGGAGAAAAAAGGAATTTTCCCGTTTGAAGTTTCGTGAGGACAGATAATGGAAGGCTATGTCTGTGCTCATAAAGTTGGCAGACATGAGGAAGATATAAATCGGCCCAGTGACTTTAACAGTCCTCTAACTTTATAACTAATACTATTATATAGGCCATAAAGCGGAACTCTATAGATGCATTTAAAAATTACATAAAAACGCTCTTTTATCTTGCAATTTTTATGATGGACGGACGAGGAATATGTACACAAATTAAAACGAAGCGATTTTATGCGAACATTAAATCGATGGGTCGAGGCGACAAAAAGGACCAACAGGGAGAAGGCGGAGGCGATATTTGAACCCAAAAACAATTAAAATTCGATAAAGTCGAAAGCGGGATGTTGAGAGAAACGCCTCTGCGAGTGCTGTTTCAGTTTATTCATTTCTGAAATTATTGGTTGTTGCATACCATTTTTAACAAAAAAACCCTTTAAAAATGTTAAAAATACAATATCAATTTTGCCACCTACAGAATATTTCATTATTTATCAACAATAATTATTTTGTTTTTGTAATTATTTTTATTGTTGTAATGCTAAGTATTATTGTTTTTATTCTTTTTATTTTCTCATTTCAAAATACCACTCACTACGCCACTGCTTGATTCAGAAACTATCATCACCGGGGAATATTTTCAGTCACTTGTGATGAAAGAGGATTATAAGCTATCTAATAAAGTAATGAAAACAAATATCAAATTATTTTGACTTAAAATATTTTTGACTAAATTATAGTTTTAAAATTAATTTTACCTTAGGTTTGGTAAAAAAAGAAGTAAATTTTAAATAACTACATACTTGCCGTTTTCGTAAATATTTCGCCATTTCCCCCTAGTGCAACATTTTAAAATTGTTATTCATGAACCCCCTTGAGTCCTTTCTTCGTTTCTTTACGATGCAATTCGCCATTCCGTTCGCCATAAAATTGGAAGCTCTTAGCAAATTACAAATAATTTATCGTCTCGCCGCGAAATAGCCGGAAACTGTATTTATTTTGATTTTGTGTTCGTCTTGTAGAAAAATGTCGTCCAACATAAAACGCCGTTGTATACATTTCAACATCCCAGGCGACATATACAGAAGCCACTGGTTGGGGTGTGAGAATATCAAGCAAAAATAAACAATTTTTTAGTTATACACCGACCTGTATGAACTGACGTCGTTTTTAAGTAAACAAATAAGATGTAATGCGTAACTTGACACCGCTTTTAACAACGAAAATAAACTCGAAGACATCATTTTATTAACTCTGAGCTTTTGTTCGCATCGGAAGGAAAGGCTTTAAGTATCGTTTTCGCTGTCTTGTCATATCAAAACGACAAAAATAAAAATTGTGGGATTATTTTAGTCGGCTCACTGTCGCACAGCACCTGCTAAAAATTATCATCAATTCGATCAGTTTCGGAACAAAGACACCAAATGAAAAATCGAGGGTAAATTTAGACAATAACAGAGGCTTTGTTACGGGCTAAAAATGGCGCTGGGCAATTCCAAATTCCGGAATTTACCTAGAAAATCAAATTAGAAGCCATGTTACATATTTTTCTGATTTAACACGAAATAATCTATCATAACGTCGTTAAAAATAATGACACGACAGCGAGCCTTATTTCTAATTTATTTCAAATTTCCAACAAATATTTTTCACGAAAGCGTTTAGTCGAATAAAACGAAATAAAATTCTCTTGACAGTTTATATGCTTCGGTTATAAAGGAGACAGGAAGAAATAAATAAAATTGGAAACAAGAAATGTGGGCGGTTTAATGAAAAGTGACAAAAATATCACCGACAAATATTTTTTTTTAAAGAAATCGAACTGCTAATATTGACCTATTAAAAGAGGGTAAAAATGACCGACTAAAAATAGAAGCGGTGGTGTGAGAGGATGCATAACGTTTCAGATATGTTCACGTCTGTTTTCTTTTGACTTATAGACATTGACGGTTCCACTAATTTTACCAGTTTTCTCAAGAAGATGAAATCAGGCGCGGCTCCAGTGCTACAAGAGGCTCAATTTACAGTTTGGTTGTTTAAGGGATTTTGGCTCATTAATGAAGAAAATGTGACATTGGAGGGCCAAAAATTAATTAGAAAAAATGAAGTCCCAGATTTTAATTTTGTACAATTTTTTTGCCTTCATACAAATGTTAAAAAAAGAAATGCTTGTAATTTCTGTTATTTATGTCATTCATAAATTTAAAAAGTCATGTTAAATTAGATATTTTGAAGATAATAAATTTAAACATTTTTGAAGATTTATTTCAGTGTCTCAAATCCATTATATCGGCCCATTCTGTTTTTGCATTTAGATAGAAAATGACTTTTGTAATAAAAGTAGAAATCAATTAGACCATTAAAGTTATATTTTTACAATTAGTACGAAAAGTTTATAAAATTTTAGTTAAAGTGGCTGTTAATTTTAGTTTATGGTTAGCACTACCTCTGACTCAACAAATTTCAACTTATTTTACAGTAATTAACAAAAATAAAAAGTTAATTTCTTCTCAGTGTATCACACTGAATACCAATTCTCACTCAAATTAGTAAGCTAGTTAGATACTTATACTATTGAAGGTTGTTTGATAGGTATTTAGTAAATAAGTAATTTTAATTTGAGTATAACGAAATTAAATGTTTCCAAACTAAATTTATATCTTTCAAACACTTTTTTTGCGATTATAACACTTGCTTTAAAAAAAAAACTAATTGGTAAAAATAAAGTGCTATAACTAAAAAATTATGTGATCATCTTCTAGGAATGAAATTTTCTGTTTTTGAGTTTTGCATTTTTTTAAATACAAAGCTATAAAAAAAATTTAGATTTTTTTTGGAAAATCGATTTAAAAGTGTCAGACCAACTCTCGAATGGTGGTAAAAGACTTTCTTTCAGCTGAGCATAAAACTGAATGCAATTTTTTTTTCAAGCTTCAGTTTCTAAGAAAAAACAGAACTGACAATTTCCATATTACCAGATAGGCACTTTAGCTCTTATGTTTCCAATGTTGTCGAGTTTAATTTATTGTTGAACTTGCTAGTTTGTTAAATGTTTTGTAGTTTGTAGACCATACCTATAAGATAAAAATTGGTAATTTTTAATTTTTTTAAATTAAATGGCAAATGATCTAAGGATTACAATTATCTACTTCATGTTTAATTTTATAATTTTTTTTACAAAAGTTGCCAAATTGACAAAAAACCGCCTAACTCAAAAACAAAACAAAATTTCATTCTCAAAATACGACCACATCTTTTATCTTACTTTAATTTATATTAATTATTTTCTGGAGGCAAATGATTAAAAAAAACCGCTTGGTTCCATCATACTTTATATTCACCTTTTTAACATTTCTAACATATTTAACTAAAGTCTTTTTGTTCAAAATATAAAATACTAAACTGCAAACAAAAATTATTCTTACTTTTATTTTTTTATTTTTTAAATATTGTTAATTCATGCGCACTTATTATTTCTAAATCAAAATTAGATATACTTCTTACTAAATATATTTCCTGTTCCTATAAATTAAATATTATTTTATAAGCTCCAAGAAGTCATAAAAGCATCTTCATCGTCTATTATTTTATAGAGATGCTGATATACAAAATGAGTTTCTTGATTTTTCTTCGTTTTTAAGTTTTTGAATTTTGAACATGAATTTATTAGAGATGTCACACTAACATCATCTCACGAAAAGAAATTAATAAAAATAGAAAGTCATTCTAAATAATAATAAACCGAAAAACATTTCCAAAACATTTTGGCCCCATAGCCAAACAATTTTGTTCTCAAATATGAATTTTCAATTTGAATATTAATACGAAGTGATCCAGAAAGATTGAGTCTGTTGGCAACAGATTTGAAAGTATTTTTGTTAATAATTTGAAACACTGCAACCGAATACGGTTTTGCTTGACAACCCTACAAGATTGTTGAATTGTTCTTAATCAAAAGCGTACTCTAATGGTATAAGCTTTAAAAATTAGGATCAGGATTGCCAACATATTCAGTCATTGTGGATCACTTTGTACTACATAATAATAAAAATAGACAAAGCAAAAAATGTTTGTTACAAAAATTCAACAGTTTCAATAATAGTTTCTTATTAAAAAAATAAAAATTATGAAACTATTTTTTTCGTATGTCTAATGTTAAATTGACTTGTCAAAGAAAACAGAAGCTGTGAAAAGTAAAATTTTAATGATTGAAATACTAATTGAAAAGACTTTTTTCTTACACCTGGTTCTAAGACAATTTAAAAGTTACTTTATTTCAGAAAATCAAAGGCAGTAAGTCAATCAAAATCTTGAAATTTTTTCGAAAGATGAAGTTTTTCTATGTAGTGAACAAAGCTCAGTTCATTACTTGGGAGAACAAGTGTGTATTGTGTTAATAGAAACAGAAAAACGTTTCAAATTTTAACGTGTGTACTAATTACAAACGATATATTTTTAGTAAAGGGAATTATTTTCATACAGTTTTATTGTTGTTCTTACTGTTTAATGATAACAATCTTATCCCTTTATTACCGGTTTTTCCTCCAATTCGAAAGAGGACCATTTTATTACAGGGGAATTCCCAATCCCTTACCTGTGAAATGCAATTATCCCAAAATTTCCTAATCCCCTATCCACCACATCTCCGACCACATTTATAATAATTTTCAGCGTCGGCAAATAAAACACCAAATATAAAAAATATTTTATTTCAACAAAAATAAATACACTATAATAAATTTGGTACAAAACTTACAATACTTGCGGCTTTCTACTTTACCTAAAATCTAAAAAACCAGTAACTTTGGAATAAACGTCCTCCATTTGAAACTTTTCCACCGAAATTCAACCCGTCGTTAATTTTTTGTCCGCAAAAAACGGCAACAGCTGTACCGAATCGTTCTCATCATATCATGTTATCATTTTTTATCCTTCCGAGCAAAAACGCGCACTACGTCAATAGGCCACCCCCACAATCACTGCGAGTTACAGTCGCTCCAATCACCCTCCATCCGCCACCTGGTGAAGGCCTTGAGGAGTTTGTCCCGGACGACGTAGGAACACACGTTGCCGATGAGGTCCACGTCCAGGGCATTCTCGTTGGAGAGGACGTGGTAGAGAAAGTCGATATACCTGGCCGCCAGCTTGAGAGTCTGAATTTTGGAGAGCTTGTCCGACGGCATGGTCGGGATGCTCTTCCTCAAGGAGGCGAAGGCCTCGTTCAAGCTCTGCGTCCGTTGGCGCTCCCGCACGTTCGCCATGACCCTCTGGTGTTGGATATCCTCGAAGCTCTGGGGGGCTTTCCTCCGTGACTTGGGTTTCCCCTGGAAGGAGTTTTCCTCGTCGGAGGAGATGCTCTTTCGTTTGCGACCAAAAGAGCGCGATTTGAGCACGGGGGCCTCCTCGTCGGTCTCCACTTTGATGTAGGGGGTCACAAAATCGTGTCGCTCCTCGTAGCTGGGGTCCTCGTAGAAGAATGGCGGTTCTTTGTGGTAGTACCCGTAGGGCGGTGGTACCTCCTGATGGGGCAAGACAGTCGGGAGAAACTTCTCGTTGGAGTTGGTCAGGTCCATCAGCTTCCCTGGGGGGTAATACGAACTGTCACCGTCACGACTTTCATACATCCTGGCATCAGAAATCTTACTACTAAATGCAGGATTCTTCCAAAAACTTTACTTTACTTAAATAAACTTGCAACCAATGGGAATGTGGGGAGCGGCCCCCTACTCTTCGAATTGTCTTCGCTTGTCTCGTTTCATCTCGTGGGATTCGCCGGATGTTGGGATATGGGGGTCTCATCCCGTTTGGACTTTTTGTTGGGTAGTGGCGTCTCGCTTGTCTCCATTGATGGGGAACTATTTATATCTCTCACTTGTTGCCAGCTTGTATGATGATTCAGAAAATTACAGAGAAAATTTGTTTAAATGGAAAGGAAAGGTCAGAATTCGCGATGGGTTTATGCGATTTTTATGGGTTGTTAAAATTGTTTTAAACAATTTTTGATGGAATTGGATCAAGCACATTCTTGGGTTTAGTGCAAAAGCGCCGTTTGGGTTTGAATGAGACCGAATATCCATAATGAAATGTTTACAAAATGTAAAGATACTTAATTTCAAGATTATAAATAAATATGCTTCAATGAAGAACGAATTGAATTTTTATTTCATTCAACATTCAGAATTTTTTAAGATTCACTGTTTTTCTACAACAAAAAGTGAAAACAGAAGGCAAAAACGTAAAAACTACCTTGATACTTGCCTCATTGTTTAAATTCTATAATCAAAAAACAAAATAGTAATTTTGTACACAAAATTTCATTTACCACATGACAAAATAAAATACGCTTTAAAAAGTAGGTATATCTAAGTAAAAGTTACTTTAAACTATTAAGAACAGTTAAGATAAAATTTGTCCTGAAGAAAAACATTCTGATTTGTAAAAAAATTGTTTTTGATCCAGATTCACTAAAACCAACCAAATCACGTCGTGCTAACTTAGAATAACGTCATGTAGCCATCAATTTGAACCTAGTTTTGTGCTAATTATCGCTACTTCTATTCCTAACAAATAAAACCGATACAACAGTTTTATATGAAACTTCATTTTCTCAATAAATTCAATCATTGAAATAATATACAGTGTGTTCCCGGGTAGGTAAAACGACTGTTGTAAAAGATAAAAAAAAATCGTTTTTAATTTTTATTTTTTGGGGTTCAGTCCTGCTTAGTTTTATTAAAGACTAATTTCTAACATAATTTTAATTAGATTTTCAAAAACTTATTTTTTTTGTAGAGTAAAGTGCCTTTGTGTGGAAAATACGATAAAAAGTTATTAAGAAAAGTTGTTTAGAATCAACATCTAAACCTGGATACTAAATTTCAAATCATCGGCCAACTATGATTTTTCATTTTTTTATGTTTTTTATTCACAAATCAAAGAATTTTATTTTTAGCAGTTCTTTTATTACGACTAAAAAAATACGTTTCTGCTATAAAAAAAATCTTGGAAAAAATGAAAAATTATAGTTGGCCGATGATTTTAAAATGTGGTATAGAAACCTAAAAGTTAATTCTACACAACTTTTCTTAATAACTTTTTATCGTATTTGTCGCATAAAAAGCACTTTACAGAAAAATATATATTTTTTTAATTTCCAAGACATACTTGATTTTTCAAATCTAAAATATTGTTAAAAATTATAATCCTTAACCAAGCTGGGCTGAACCCCAAAAAATAAAAATTTAAATCAAAGCACAAACCATTTTAGCCGCATCTTAAGGTAAATTTAGCTTTGATAAATAATTCAATTTCTCTAACTTATCTAAAAAAAAAAAACATTGACAATAAAAAAAATAATGTTGTAAAACCAAAAAAGGATAATTGTAAATTGTCAATTCGACGTTTATTTACTCTAAAAATTCCTAGAAAATTTTCATTTCGTGGATTGGCTTCTGCAAAAACCAATAATGCTTGTATCTTCAAAAATACAAAATTTACTTTTTATTATGATAAAAATTACTCTGAACATATAACAGTATATAAAAAAAAATATTTAGTTGCTATAGGTATAACATTCGATAAACATTTATTTATTTTTNTTTTATTTGTTACCTACATGATTTTTTCCAACAACTGGGAACAGATTTTAAATAATTTCGACATAATAATATTCTACGGAGTTTTAAATAGGTATTTAAAATTTAAATTTTAAATGTATGTTCAGAAAAATCCTAATTTATTAAAAATTTGTATTTTTTGCACATTTTTTTTTGTTTGAGACAAAATTGCTACAACTCAGGAAAAAGTAGTTAGAGACAGGAAACATCAAGATTTTCATTTAGTAGTAGGTATAATTGTCAGGCCTGTAGAGCTACTTAAAGCTGTCGAAAAACGGTTATAAATCACTGATTTTACCGTCTTATAATAGAATGACCATTTTAGTTGTGAAACCCTCCCATTTGTAATAAATTCACTTTTATGCTTGCTTTAGAAAATTTGTTCGCAATTGGCTTTCACGATGCGATTGTTTGTATTGGCAAGCGAAACATTATCTAATTTTAAAATAAATCTGTGTAATTTGTCTCAAGTCAATTAGAGCGGGATTTTAGCAAAGCAATTTATTTGATGTGCCCAATATAACCCGAATTAGTTCTCTAATCCATCGAGGCGGTAATCAAAGAGAATTTCGGCTTTGATTCGATCTCGCCGTAAAAAACTGCCTACCCTCTCTAAGATTATATTTTTTCAACGAGTGTAACACTAGATAAGATAGATTAGTCTTCGAGGGGACCGCGACATGGTAAATGTGTCACGCCGGGGTGGCTGGTGATGAGTTATGGTGCTTTTACTCTGTTCGAAAGAGGTATCAACACTCCACGACAATTCTCATCGAGATTACTCATTAGAGTAATTAAATACCAGCGACATTTTTCTGGATCCGGTGACGTCAGATCCCGCGGGAACTCTGGCGCCATTGTGTTCCACGATGGGTTTTCTAATTCGGAAGGGACGTGCGACTTTTAATGGACATGGAGCAGCTGAAGAGAGGAGGCGCACATCCTGTCGTTAGCGGCCCCTGGGTCTGTGGGGCCGGCCCCCCGCAACACTTGTTGCCCATTTATCTCCAAAGCAAGAATTTTTACCACTTTCTGATCACTTATAGATTCAATTTAAGACAAATATTTTTCGAGATGTAAATTTTTCAACAGTGGTAGAGACAGATGGACGAGTTGGCAGAAAAATATTCATTTATTTTCTCAAGGTTCGCCGAATTGATGAATTATGGAAGATGTAACTGTCAAGGGGTCGGTTCCGGCGAGGAATTTTACGATTAACGGGGGATTTAAATAACAGAGGAAAAGACAACATTTTTGGGCTTCTGTTTTATGTGATTTTCACTTCATTTGCAGGAAATATTGCCAGGTTTTCAAAGCGAAATTTTTCCATTACGTTTGTTTTTTTTTTTGACTAAAAATGTATAGTGTTTAAATACCTACCAATGAAATAAAAATAAAATACTAAATACAAGTAAATATTAGTTAAAAACGCGTTTTTGAAAGAATTTTATTGCTTTATTATTAAGTTGGATAATAACAATTAATTAAAAACTTAAAAACCTTTTTAACTATGTATTTTATTAACAAGAGACGAAAATACAGGATGCGCCAGAATCCGCACCACAGTAAAAAATGCCATGTAAGGTAGGATACCAGGAACATTGAAAAATGTTTAAAAAATACAATCTATAAAAATTTCAAAGTTATGAAAGTCTAAATTTTGCACTTTGACTCAATTTATTTCTGTTGGAAAAATAATTTTCCAAGTTTTCTTGCTACATATAATTAGAAGAGGAAATAAAGAAGCTTTATCCTAAATTGTAACCCTGTTTAATGTTATTTGTGGCTCTTATTGTCAAAATTTTTGTACCTTTACTAAATAATTATAAAAAAAACATATACAAGATCATCAGTATAATTAAATAGACATAAAAACTGTACAATGTCAAAAAATTAATGTTAAAATTTTTAGGCAGAATTTTTTAAACATTTTTTCCATGTTCCTGGTATCTTATTTACTTGAAATTTTTCTCTGAAGCGCGAGTTCTGACACACCCTCTATAGGTATATATTTTTTTGTTTGTAATAGGACTTTCATAAAAAAAATCTAGATTTTACAAACCACAAGTCTGGCGACATTTAAAATTATAATCTTCAAGTTTAAACATTAAAAAAGTGACAAAAAACGTCAAATTATTGAAATAAAAATTAAATAGGGTAAGTCTAAGGAAGATGGATCACATTTTGAAAAACCTAAAATTCTTATATTTATTTCAATTTCAATTTCAATTTAAAGCACAAATGTTTTTTTCTCATGGCATGAACTTTACGACAACTTATAAATGTAACAAAATTAAAGACACATACTTTTAAATAAGTACATGAAAAAAATATATTTTGAGGCGTAAAAGTCTATATTGTGCGGTTGAGACGAACCACTAATAGTTTCTAGGTAATTATTTTTTTCTTCTTAACAATGTTTTCTATATGTATACAGGGTGTTTCACATAACTTTACGAGGCTTGCGCCTAATGTACGCACCCAGATATACAAAAGTCACAGAACATTGGATACAAAAAACACACATTTAATTATTTAATTTTTGGAAACCCATGACAGTAGTTGTCAAACTAATCACTGTTTCATTAATAGTCATAAAACTGCAGTTTTTCAGAAACAATTATCACTTGTTCTATCAAGAGACGGCATGAATATGATTGTAGTTTATCTATCTTAATCACTAACTAACTAAAAATGTTGTAATTTTTGAAAGGGTGAACTAACTAGAGAAGATTATCCCATTTTTCAAATTTTGTAATCGAGTTCGTATTGGAATATGTATTACTGATTGCATCTTACAGGCGCAGGCCTCGTAAAATTATGTGAAACACTCTGTAGGTACACGGTGAATAAAAAGTATGGAACCTTTTTTTACGAAAAAAATAATTACTGTAGCGTAAAGTACAATTAAAATGTGACCGTTTATCAAGAATAACATTTTTCGATTATTCCTATTTTTGAGTTTTTGTTAAAAAAAATTTTAATAGTAACCTATAATTATTTTTTTTTTAAATAAAGACTATGATCTAAAAACTTATTCTAATTAAGTAATAGGTAGTACATTACAAGCGAGGTGGTAAATATGGCATTACCCCGAGTGCTTATGTATACCAGCCTCGAGATCGGATAAAGCACGAGGGGTAATGCCATTACCACCGAGGTTTGTATGCGATTTTATTCACAATCACATTACTTTCAGTCAAAAATTTGAGTAAAATAAAATTCTAACAAAGTTAAGGTCCAAACGTGGTAGGTCATCCAAATGACGTTTGATTTTTGACATTTCAGAAATGTCAAAGAAAATATTGAAATAATGTGTTAATCTGATTTAAAATCGTTGAAATGGAACAGTTTGCTCCCCGGAAGTAAGAGAAACTACTACAAAATCCTGCATATTACCGCCCAAGAGAAGTAATATTATTACTCCTCATGAGATTTATTGATGTGTTTTCCAACCTTTAAAAGGTTAGTAATCTGCATATTACATTAGTGATTGTGAATAAAATTATTTTTTAATCAGTAGTTTTTTTTTAATAAATTCTTAAAGTTGCGTTCCGAGCTCTTCCTCAAGATTTTCCGAACTTAACCAAAGTGGTCGTGCCCATTTGATTCTGTCTTAAATTTTTGGGATTAAAAAAAGTGTCTAAAACTGTTAAATTAGCGTATTTAAAACTGTAAAAAGTTTAAATTTTGCCAAAAATTCAGTTTTGTACACCTACTTTAAGAAAGTCAAGCATTGAAACAAAATTCGATTGCTAGATACTTGAATAAAAAAGAAGTAAGTATTTTAATTGTATTTACAAAAAAAAGTGTTTTTAATTTGTGTTTTACTAAATGATACCTAATTAAAAGCTGTCGGACTTACTCTTTCCCGTCGTCCCATGACAAGTCCGTCATGGGACAATGCAAACCTTTCAAATAAATTTTTGCATTTCGGTACCCTTGTCGGGTTTTTCCCTTGCAAATATGTATAAACATTGCTGGAACTTCCCATAATCCGGGTGTTATTGCTGGAGCTTTCCCAGCTGGGTGTTATTAGAACCTTCCGCCACCCCGGCATAATCGTATCAATCCTGGAAAAACGGCACATGCTGCACACCTTTGAAATTTTTGCCCGGGCACGTCTACTAGGTAGTAAAAATAATGCAATTAAGTAAGTGCACCACCATCTGGACTCGGCCGTCTAATTCATTCATGGTTTTATTGTAGGATCGACAATTTTCCAACATTTGGCACACACTTGTCAGGTAAAACGTGCGAAACTTACCACCATAAAAATGTACCTGGTGAAACAATGAGTGCCGAAACAACGTTATAAAATAATAGTTGGTTTTTATTTCAGTAGAAATTGAGTAAAATCGTATTCCCAAGCTTGTGTTAACATTTCGCCTTGTTTACAACATTTTTACGCCTTGATTTATAAATATTTGCTCTTCTTGTATACAAGGCATAATGAAGTATAAAGCATAATGTAATTAGTAGAAATTTACGTTATGAATCGTCTCTTTCTCTTCAGTGACGTTAAAAATAACGTCAGTGATTGTAAACGGCGTGCAGACACTTTTCCTCGAGATTGATTTCCTTTCAATGAGTTCTTTGTCGTCGTTTTTCCACCATTCCCCAACAATTTCGTATTTTATTCAAATCAATTAAGTCGAAAATAATTTAAATAAATCGGTTTCATTCATCGGCGCTTCGATGAATGGACACTCATTATCCTTTTTAATCGCTCCTCGACGCCGCTTTCACCCATTTTTCCCAAATTTAGCCCCGCCTTAAACTATTCGCACCTGTCCAATACTCACACCTGGACACACCTGTTGCTTACAGACAAAATGGCGTTTCAAAATCTGACCGATACTTGGAACTGTCATTTTTATTGTCGTAGGATCGGACTTTTGTTTAGACAAGAGAGTAATGACATGCACAGGCGTTTTTAAGTCGAAAGCCACTCGCCGGGGTGCCCACCCTAATGGACATGGTAAAGCCATTTCGGGTCGGGTTTTTGTCGACGAGGAGACGACTTTCACGGTCTATATTTAAATGGATTTTCAAGGTATGCCAAAATGACGACGCGATGGCCTCCGAAGCGGAATCGGGCCCTAATTAAAGAGAACGGAGACTTCCTGTACGAGTTAATTAAGGCGAGATGCGTCCCTTATTGGGGACACACATAATTGAAAAAAAAATATCACGTTTAATTATTTTTTATTGTCCACATGCGACCGACACATCTCGGTCGGGGAAAAGTCTATCTACCTATTTATTTATTTATATTTCTATTTCTGGTAACAAAACTTTTCGATTTTAATGATAAATGATGATAAAAGCAAAAATTAATTACCAATTAAGACATATTTTAAATAAAAATTATCATGCTTTTGACAAAACCTATTTATAACAAAAATTAAGCAATTGTTTAAAGTTCACAGAGAATTATTTTTTACTAATTATTTTTATTTATAATTATTTTTATAAGTAAAACAATTTTAAAGACCAGATTAAACAGTAACTTCAGAAGAAACGTCCTTTTGCATTTTAGTTATTTTTTTTTATTTCAATAAATCTTTCTTTCTTTTCCAACATTTCTTTTTCTTCTTCTTTTCTTTTAACCTCTTTTGCTTCAAACATCAAAGCATTAATAAAAGTTCGATTGTGAACGAACCATCGTGTTGAAAGTTATTAGTCTGACATGCGCCAGGCGTATAAAAAATTTTGGTCCGTTCACAACACACTCATATCACCGACGCCAACACATGTTACAACTCTTGTAAAAAAAATCAACTTTAACAATCAAACTTTAATTAAAAATATTTTTTGAATTATCAAAAGCTAGGTAATTGGTACCTACTCTTATTCTTGTATTTACTATTTAGGTATTATAAGATTCGGCTGCATTACAGCGTTATTTAAAAATTAGTCAATTAAAAAAAAAGTTACTGCGTCATAAAAAGTAGTATAAATTAGAATTTTTCTTTTTTCCAACACTAATATCTTATACTGTTTCTATGGTGCTGCATTTAAACTTATATATCTACTATCTACCTTTTATGTTGCCGTTATGTTGCTCTTCTATAAAATACGTCGTCAATCACATCGTATTTTATAAGTTATTGCTTATTATCAAAAGTTAAGTTAAGTTAGCTTGAGTAAGTATAAAAATTGAATGTATAGGCATTTAATAATGCTTGAGGCTTTTTACTTATATCTCCTCATACAGAGTTCTGTTTTTTCTCAAAAAAAAACTTGAAAAAAATCTGTATTCATTTTTATGCGTAGCTGAGGGTCTTCTATTACCATTCGAGAGTCGGCTCGACACTTTTGAATTACTCTGTATACGATCGAGAATAGACTTATTCTAACACCGAAATAAAAAAATTATTCTCTAATCTCTAATAGAAGGGCTTGACTTTCTTTCTTTTAAGATAATTTACAGTAGCAAAAGCCATTTCACAGCCTTCTAAGAGGTTAAATTTTCATATGATAATGTATTTAAAAAAGTAAAAAAATAAAGCGTGTTTAATGTTAAAAAGTACGAAAATAATTCTCCCAGTCGTTTTTATTCACTTTTGTTCTCAATTTATTGTACTGTTTTATTAAATTATGTCTCATTTTGACCACTTATTCCACTTCATCTTCGCAAATTTTCACTTTTCTTTCTTTCTCTTCAGACACTTGCACTTGTTTCGGCTTTTTTTCAATCTCCGGATACCTATCAATGTGCACAAAATTCACCAACGCTCTCGGCTTATCATCCCGCGTTTCGATTTTATTCTTCTTAATCTTCAATTCTACGGCACACCCATAATCCATAACGCCATAATACTGCTGTTTATATTTATCAACAGGATATCGTGCGGCATATAACACCCCATCAACTTCATAAATCTTCACATCTATACCCCTTTGTTCGAAAACAGTGGATAACATCATCCTCTGAATTATCTAAAAGCGGCCACCAATTATAGTCACCATTGAGATTAAATACAACCTTATTAGCGGGGTGACTGAAGGAATTCCCCCACAAGAGGAAATACCTCAGCATGTAGGGTTTCTTAATACTGTTCAAAATGGCGATGATTCCTTCATTACCAATGTAGTTATAACTGATATCCAAATATCGCAGTTTACTAAACGGCATTCCAAAACTTAAAGCAACACCGCCATGATTTTTAATATTATTTCCAGCAATACACAACCCTAAAAGCGGGGGACGCGTTTTAAGCCACTCTGAGAGAAATTCAACTCCGACACAGCAAATATTATTATAACCGATATCGAGGAATTTCAAAGAAGTGTTAAGTTTTAATCCTAGTATCAAACTTTCAATATCATGAGCGTCAAGACTGCTTTTCTGGGCATGTATTTCAACTATTGTCTGATTTAGCTGCAAAAATACCATTAGGGAGTTTACCGGAATCAAATCGAACCGACTCGAATAAGTTCCGAGATGCTTTCACTCAAAAAAACATTGTTAACTTGAGACATATTATTACAGGGGATGACTCGTGATATGTCGAGTATTTTTATTTGACTTCGGTAGAGCTGGAGGAAAATACAGTCGACACTATCGGCTGTTTGGTCAGTGTCTCCGAGATCAAGGTATTCTAATGTGGGGCAATAAGGGGCGAAAAGAGCAGCTAAATGTCCTCCCTGGAACCACAATTAAACTGATGTTCAAAGGCGGAAAGTGTGTCTTTACAGTGGGTCCCAATTTATTTCCAGTGAGTCTCAAGGTTTTCAATTTAACAAAACCGTGTTGCTCGGCTGTGAAATACAAGACTTTCATCCCCACTGGTGTAATATCACAGTGGGATAAGTTAAGGTGTTGCAAGTTGTTCTGGTGGGCGAGCGTGATATTGCAAAGGGTTTCTAAACCCTCGTCTTCGATTCCATTGTAGCTCAGATCAACGTCAACGACTTCAGGATGAGCGTTTAAAAATGTGGAAATATACACCATATCGGCTGGAAGTAACTGTTCTCTAAAAAAAAATGAGATTTTGCCGGTCAAGTAAAAAAAAATTACGCGAATCTTTGTTCTAATTCGTTGGCTTTAAAGCGGAGTTTTTTCGTCCCATCGGAATTTTTCTCGGAGAAGAGTTGGAGGAAGGTTTCGGTAAAACGTAGCCCCCACAATTTGCTGTATTCCCACATTTTAGACATTTTGAGGTTTCAGGATCGACAAGCTTCAATTAAAATTTTTTTTTTTAATTTTACTAACGTCACATGAAATGTCGAGGCGACACGTGATTTTTTTTTATTTCAGGTATAAGTAATTGAGGGAATAAATAAAACCACAAGTCAGAATGAATACTTTATATTTATCTACTCTCATCTAAATATCGACGTATAGCAAAAATATGAATTTTTAAACTTACAATTAGAAAATTTGCACCATTTCAAGCAATTATACAACAGCAGTAACAAAAAATTGCATCATTAAAGTCTCCGATCTTTTCAACAAACTGTAAGATCGGCCGACTTTACTCACTTCCAACGTAATGTACAACATAAAACATTCGCTACATTGTATACTATATCACTTTACAAAAATAAATATATTTCATTTAAAACTTAAAGTACGAACTACAAAATAACCAAATTATACTATACAACAACTTTCATAAGCCCCGCTTGACTATTTGTCCCTAAACTCGAATCGTCCAACGAATCTAGATCTAACGCACTTTCAATCATCGTCGTATCTTGCAAAAGTCGCAATCTACTCGCACTCAACAAACTATTCTCTTTCTCTTGAAGAGTCATATCGTTGTCTAGCTTATCGTCTTTTCGCTTTTCCGTGTCTCTTAAAACCACGGGATCTAGATGCAAGTCCCCCACATCACTCTTATCCGTCACGTTCAAATTATTCGCGTAACTCTGAGACTTGCTCAGAGTGACCTGACCGTGACTCAGGATATTGCTATAGACCGGCGGCTGAATCAGACTCGTCTGAGACACGTACTGTTGCTCAGAGGATTTTTGCAGGGCCGGAGCGATGGCTAGGGGCTGCTCGTTGCTCACTAGATGCGTCACACTACCAGCGTTGCTATCTGAAAAGGTTAATATTTTTTAATCATTTTTCATTATTTTTCGAGAGGAAAGAACACTGCGACTAAAAATCCAACTAAATCGGAAGCTCTAAAAAGCCAAACGAAAAAATTCAATCAAGCGTAGATGTGCAGCCACTTTTTATCTCTTTCTTTCAACATGCACAAAACAAAACTTACCGAATAAGACAACCTCCGCCAATGCGTCTCGCGTCAATGCAACAATAAATAAACTTACAAACTAAATAACAGACACGAAATAAAAACTCGAAGCAACAGGTATATAAAAAAGTTGGAAAAGATATAAAAAAGCGAGAAAACACAGTTGTATGTTCGAGTTTTGATTACATTTAATTCACATTATTTATGAATACTACTTTTGATTCATTTCAACGATTAATAAATACAACGGTACTCTAATAATAAAATATTTTTCATTTCTATTATTACCTATAAAATCGCACTGAGGTTAATCACAATGTCATGGTTAAAAAGATCAAAATTCTAATTTTAAATGGAGTGATATTTAATCACAACTGCTGCAAGTCGAGACTTACAAAGGGTGCGTTTTTAAAAGTCGCAAAGGTCAAGGGTCAAATTGGTGTCTTGACTTCAATCAACACTACAGGAAGCGCTAAATTTATTGCTTATATATTAAAAAAAAAATATCATGGCACAAGACGTCACTGTCAATATGATTGATGGTTTTTAACAATTTTGACTCTTATTCCGTTCTAAAATAAACAATTTCGAAAAACCAAATGGTTTAAAAACCCCCGACCTCTATTTTCGTCTCAACGCCCCTTTCCCCAAAACGCACTCAACTACCCCCTTGAAAACCCTCCTGAATATACATCCGACTAAACTCTGGAGTCGGAAAATTCTTAACTTTTGGTGTCAAACTAACTTTATCGTTTTTAACCCGATTCATGCAAAACTCCTCCTGAACGTGAACATTCTCATACACGCAACTCCTCGGCCTTGGCTTGACCCCCTGCCGGCCGAAATTCGCATTGTAGCGTTTTTCGGGCGGTGTATAGGGTCTCAAATTTGGATAATAGCCCCCATTTTCAGGAGGCGATTTCAATTGCGGAAGTGAACGACTGTTCTTGAATACCTCCAGTGGAGGATCGGGAGGTTTACGTGACGGAGTATAGTCATAAGGGGGTAACAAGGGGGCATGGGATGGTATGATTTTCTGACTGGCACAATTCTTGGACGGTATCATGTGTTGGGCGCGGTAGAGATGTTTTTTTAGCGGACTGTACATACCGGTTGTTTCCGTCGTCTGTCGGTAAATTCCGGGCATTTCCGACGCGTTTAGAGTCATCTGACTCGGACCGTTCTGAAATAAAACACACATCATTAAAGCGTTTAGTCTGCGGTCCGCAACGGTATACTTGTATAGGAATTCCAAAGTTTTTCATCGGTTGATTTATTTCTGGCATGACGTTTCGTGATATTTCGGCTCGATAGTCATCAGTAACGATCCCTCGCCTAAATAAAAACGATTCAAGTTAATTTTAGTGTTGTTCTAAGTCCGAAATTTCGAACCTGTCGAGTAGCGATGGAGTTACTGGGCCACATAGTATATAAAAACAATTCAAACAGACATTTCCTTGTGAGTAAGGATTCATATTTTCTTGTCCGCGCTTACTAGTAAATGAACCTTTAATCTATGAGAAAATAAAGCAATTAAAGAGAAGATAAAGTTTGTCTATAACTTACATCTTCATTTGTTGTTTGGTTACTTGTCGTCAGATAAGTATGGAAGCCTGCAAGTCCTAAAATACTCCAAACACTAAAAAAACAAATTGTTGCTACTATGACACTTGGTGGTGATTGTTTTACGGCGTCAAGAAATTGACCCTCAGTTTTAGTAACTTGAAAAAAAAATTGCTAGAATAATTATCAAAACAAATAAATAAATTCTTACTTAATATTAAATGAGCTATGGCACAAGCAAATATAAATACGGCCAAAAAAGCTAACGATACTATAAACATGTAGAAAAAACGATAATTTCGTCTACCGACACAATTTCCGACCTAAAAAAATCCCTAATTTAACTAAAACTTCTGTTTTATGCAATACCCAAGGGCAGTGATGGTCAAATCTATCAACACAATTATCGCAAAGACTGCAATGTGAGGCCCTCGGCGGCCTAAATATTTTACAAGTGAAGCAATATTTTAATTTGACTGTGTGCCCTTTGATTAGGACCTCTTTCGTACGAGGTGGGGGCCTGTAAGTGGGGCTGTTTGCCGAATTTGTGACTTCTACAAATAAATCAACGGTTTAGTTACATTTGGGAAATCCAGGGGTTGTTTTCGCACCGATTTGTTTTTCGACATAGGCAGCTTCTTCTGGTGTCGCTCTTGGAATAATACCTGGATCTGAAAGGCTGGTGCGCAACAAGGAAGACATCGTAAATATAAATAGCAAGCCACCAATGATAGGAATCGCGATTGTTACGTTTTCCGCCAAGTAATGGCAGCTGAAAAAATTATATAGTTTGCAAACAGACTATTATGGGAGTGTTTACTCATAGATAAAAAACAGGGTGCAAGTTCCCGTGATAAGAAATACTGTCAAAAGGAATACGCCCCCGTTTGGGGCCGTCATCAGCCTGCCATCGCAGTAAAATCGGTTGCGGCCCGCGAAGACTTCCCACTTTTTCGTAATTCTGTCTCTTGCCATTTCTGAAAGATTTTGGGATAAAGGTGATGACATTATGAGGTTAGTACGTACCTTGTGGGTTTAAGTCGACTAAATGATACTCCAAATTCAATGTCATAAATACAGGAAATGACCAAAACAAAATAAAATGAGCCTACAAACTAAACGAAGTCTCGCGGTGGCCTTAACTCATTATTTTACGTGTAATCTCTGTCGTAGTGGATGAACGACACTCGGGGGGATCGAGAAATCGTTTCACGGGACATTATTAAATTTTATCTCACGGTTTACTTCGAAACAATTAGCGGAAAAAGTAAAAAACTCGCTCTAATCTAATCAAAATACTTTGACATCTCTTGACAGCTGAGAAAACAGCAAGGACTAGAACGGTAACCCGAAACGGCAAAAGTCATAAAATATCTGATAAAACAATATCCTATTCACATTCAAATAAAAATTACTTTTTCTTTTATAATAGGAAGTTATTTAAATTACTTACTTGCCAAAAAACTTTGACAACAATTTAAATCAAATATTTTTTTTTATTTTAAAATTCCGAAATATCCATACTATTCCATACCGCTCAAAATTCCCACTTACGTCACCTCAAAACTATGTCATGGACATATTTTTATTCAAAATAAGGCAATAGCAATAATAACCGCACTCAAGGCAACTCTCGTGCCTTTTTAAACCTCTCATAATTATTTTGCCTTTGACTTTTCTTTAAAAAACTTATCATGCGACTCTAACCTCAAAATGGACACCAACGCAAAACCGCGATATTCTCCCGAATTCAAACTGAAAGGTATTTCTCCCAATAGTCCAATCACTTTTTCATTCAGTCTATTTTTAAGCTGGAATTTTTCTTGCTGGTGTCTCAGGAATATCAGCCCTTGTTGGTTTTGGAGCCACTTTGGCCGCTGCAAAGAAACAAGACCCCAAATTTTTCGGAAAAGGGATGGAGGGGTCGCGCACCATGGGTGAAACTGGGGCTAGTTTGGCCTTACGGGCTTTGGGTTGGGGCACTTTGTATGCAGTGACAGGGTGTGGAGTTTTATTTTATGCTATTTGGAAAGTGTCGGGGGCACAAAATGTGGGTATAGCTGTCTGTAATTATTATTATTTAACTCTTGGTTTACAGTTTGAAGAATTTAGACACAAGGTTGGTAGCATTTTGCCAAGAATACCCAAAAATGAGCCACAAGGAAGGACTGAGTTTAGTGGATTGAATGATCTTTTAGATTATTTGCAACATCAGAGAAGTAAAAAAGATAAGTAGCAACGTGTAAAATTAATTTATTAATAAATAAGTAAATAAAGTTAATCATATTTTATAGATTGTAAAACAAGCTTTTTTCCACCTTTCATTTTCTTTCTGTCAGTTACTTTTGGCTCTAGTGTATCTTCACTGAACTGTACTTTTTTGTTCCCTCCTTCGTTTTCTTTATTGGTTTTATACAAATCTTCAGTTTTAGTTTCATTTTTTTTCACAATTGATGATTTGTCCAGTTGTTCAGGTGTTTTTTCAGTTGGACTGACCATTTGCATTTCTTCGATCCTAATTTTAAGTTGCCCAATTTCATTCTTCAGCTGCAAAGCTTCCACATTATTCTTCCAAATTTCTCTTTTAGCTTGAGCTAAATCATATGAAAGGGAAGTTCGATTCAGCGAAGCCATTTTTAATTCTTGCCTCAAAACTTCCATTTCTTTACTACAAATAATTATAAGACGACGTATTTCAGATGAAAAACCTACTTTTTCGTGGCAAGCATGTTATCAAAAAACTTCATAGCACCTGAAGATGGCACATTATCATTTAAATTCTCTTTGGTTTCAATTTCCTTTTTATAACTTTCAGTTAACTCATTCAAAACCTTAATTTGATTTCTGCAACAGTAATAAAAATATTTAAAAATCAGAAGAAAAAAAACTCCATACTTGTAAGTGTCCAAAATCTGTTCTTCAACATTTTTTCGATCCTCAATTTCCGTTTCCATTTTTGAAATTAAAAGCGCATTTTCGTTACGCAATGTTGAGATTTGCTTCAAATGAGACGCTCTCTCGCGCTTCATTTCCAAATATTGTGATTTCATGGTACTCATGTTTTGTTGTAATTGTAAACGTCTAAGATTTTTTGTTAATATTTTAAATATTTACACCTACAAGAAGTTTACCTGTCATCAACTTCTGCAAATAACGAATTTCCCTTGCTTTGGTCATCACGAGGCTTACTATTGATCAAATCCAATTCTGACTTCAGAGTGAGATTCTCATCTTTGAGATTTTCTAATAAGGTGTGTGCTTCCTCAAGTTCTTCTCTTTTGCAGTTGAGACTCTCTTTGTAGTCCTCCGTTAATGATTCTAAATTTTTTACCCTTTCTTGAAGGTTAATGTTTTTTTGCTCACTCAATTCCAGAGACTCCTGTAAGTCACAAACTTTTTCATTCAAATCAACATTCAGGTTTTCTAGTCTGCTTATTTCATCAAGTAAGTTATTATCACTTTTTGGATTTTGCGAATCGAATTTCTTTACAATGTCGTCTAATCGTTCTAATTCTTTTTTCAAACCGTCTATTTCGTCCTCTTTTTTGGCCAACTCCTCCGTTAAAGTATTAATTCGCTCGTTGTAGGACGCCTTCAGATCTACAATAGCCTCTTCTCCCTGCAACACTTTCTGTCTCAACTCTTGCTCCTGAGACTGTAAAACCCTTATTTCGTCTTGATATTCAAATTCAAGGTTGTGACTTATTTTTATTTCTCTCCGCAAGTCGTACAAAGTCTGATTCGTTACTTCCAACTCAGTTTGCATCTCTTGATACTTTTTCATTATATCTTCACAATCAAACGTCTCCCCCATTTTTATTATTTTTCTTTTTAAACGATAGAATAACAGAGATAAACCAATTAAAAAATCCTGGAAAAACGTTATTACGATTTGAAAAATGACAGATGACATTTCTCGGGCACCAACTAAACAAAATGAAATACTCCAAATCTTTTTCAAAAATTTATTTGTAAGAATTCGCTTTGTGTTTTGGTAAAAATTGGAAATTTTCCGGCACAGGCCCTAAGAGCATTTCACTAATTTTAATCCAATCGCTGGCGGAAGTGGACGCCATTAACGTTTCAAGCTCGTCGCGTCCCTGGTAAAATGGGGGCCGTTCATTGATTTTTTGGGGTGGTTTTTCCAATAAGCCAACTGGCACATATCTATGCAAAAAAGACAACCATTCCAACATAAAGCGTCTAGTATTTTCCACTCCTTTATTGTCAGAACCCCAATGTTCCAATCCATAATTTGAGTATTTTTTCAAAATGTCAAAACGCTCAGAACTGCTGATATCCCACAGTTTTTGTTCCTTAATTTCGGTGAAAATCCAGGGCTTGATGAGGGCCCCCCGTCCAATCATGACTCCGGCCAACTCGGGGCAATTCTCGCATGCTGTTTTGTAATCTTCATAACCTAAAACATCGCCATTGCCTAAAACCGGCAAGGGGGCTGCAGCTTGGGCCACTTCTCTAATATAATTCCAGTCAGCGAGTTTGGTGTAACGTTGTTCACGGGACCGGCCATGAATTGTGATAAGACTAGCCCCCCAATCTCGGAATTTCGGAGCCTACAACCATTTAAGTAAAACAAAAAAATATTTTTTAGAAATTTACCAAAATATGTGCCAAATTTTCGTTGTTATAAACCCCAGTACGAGTCTTAACAGTCATAGGAATAGTTAGTAATTGACTCAGGTTTCTAACACACGATTCAAGAACCCTTTGGCGTCTCAATAATCCGCAACCGCCCCCTTCTTTATAGACTAATTCAATTGGACACCCTAGATTTAAGTCAATGAAGTCAATTTCGGCCTCTTGTTGTAAAACTTGACCACATTTGGTCAATAAATGTGGGTTGTTGGCGCACAGTTGAACCCCAAAAATGTCTTCACTGTGGTGACGTTTCACTAAAGCCCACTCCTGGGGAGCCCCTTGAAGAAGCGAAGAACACATTGCCATTTCGCCACAGGTTATATCCGCCCCGAATTCTTTGCAAATTCGTCTAAACGGTAAATTGCCAACTGTTGTTAAAGGACTCAAGACTAATTTGTCCTTCCAATCAATTTTCTTTTTTTCTCTTTGAGTTAATTTTATTAAATCCTCATCGGTGATAGCTCCACTTGTTATATTGTTGTCCTAAATCCACCAAATTCAATTACAATTATTAAACAAAAAGACAAAATTACACTTTTCTTGTCGTTGGATTTAATTAAAGCCTCAGCAAAATCGAAATTGTAGGTCCGTTTGCGCAACGCGACTTGGAGTTCGTGCGTTAGCTGATTTTTTACTTGGGCTGTTTCTACTAATTTTTCTGAATTAATTTTATTTCGCCCTTGTGTAATGTGACTAGAACCAAACCTGCACGCCAAACCTCTACCACATTTTCCAAAAGTTTCATAATTGTAGCAAATCTCCCCTAAAATCATCGATTAATATATAAAACAACACTCAAACAAAAATAATACCAATATCTTTAGGTTTGATTCTCAAATATTCGTTAATATCGTGCAAAAACTGGCAATTCTTTCGTTCACATTTCGGCGCCTCTTCCCCAAGATTCAAATTAATTAAAGTATTACATAACTCCATTTCCTGGGTACACCTAAAAGTGGGGCCCCGTGATTTATTTTGACCTCGAAGTTTCTTTTTTTCACTTTTTGACAATTTGGTTTTTTTTTGAAGAGGTGTTTCATCGCTACCACTCAATTTTCGTTTATCCTTATCGGAAACGCACTCTAATACTAATTCTCTGGGACGTTCTGTGAGGATAAATCTAAAATGATCGAGTTTGTTAAAAACTTTGAGGTTATATCACATGGGAAAATATTATTACTCGGGCTTGATCTTGCAAATGCCGGTGTCCCCCATGTTTTCCCACTTGCAATCTGAGTAAAAAATTAGTTTCTTTCCCAGCAATTAATTAAAATTATTATTAATTATTTAAAATATAACTTAAATCAAAATTGACAGCAGACGGCTGGGTTGTTGGCAGCCTTGTGTGATAACTTCATAACTTCAAAAATCAAAATTAAACATTAAAATAAAAATGGGAAAAATTAATTAAAAACAATTATTACCGATATTTAACGTCTCATATTTATTATATTCTATTATTCTATTTAATTAATTTTATTTAATTAAAAAAAATATAAATGTTGGTCAACCTGAGATCAACGTCATCTGTCAGTAAAAAATTAACACCTGTCAAATTTCATTATTCGTTCTGTGTTTATTAAGAGATTATGTTTATTTAATTGGTTTACAGTAAACTTTGTGATTTAACTTTTAGAAAGACTCAAGTAAGGTATACGTGAGACATGTTTAATGTAATTGTGTTTTAATTTTCAAAAAAATCATTAAATATGGTCAAGTTATATTGTATCAGTGTTTTGTACAAAGGACCTACAAGTGCAACATGGTTAAAATCAGCCTTTGACCTACAAAGTTTTAGTTTTTTTCAACGAGGATCAGTGGAAGAATTCATGACATTTTTTTGTAAAACAATCGTAGAAAGAACAATACCTGCATCACGTCAGTCTGTAAAGGAAGGAGGTTTTTTCCATAAACACTTAAAATCATAATCAAACTAATGGTGTAACACTTTTTTAGAATATATGTGTCACGTTTATGTCAGAGCCGATAATTTAGCCGGCGTTGTTATATCAGATCACGAGTACCCTACAAGGGTTTCACACACTTTAATTACTAAGATTTTGGACGAATTTAGTCAAAAGATTCCTGCTTCAAGTTGGCCGAATTTAACAGAACGCGAAGTTGCATTTCCGCAACTCAACACTTATTTATCCAAATATCAAAATCCTCGAGAAGCAGACGCTATGACTAAAATACAAGAGGATTTGGATGAAACTAAAATAATACTAGTAAGTGGATTTTTATTCGTTTTTGGTATTATAGCGTGTCTATTTTCCAGCACCATGCAATTGAAAGTGTACTTCAACGCGGCGAAAAACTGGACGACTTAGTGTCCAAATCTGAAGGATTAAGTATGCAGTCGAAAGCATTTTACAAAACGGCTCGCAAAACCAACAGTTGTTGCACTTTTAGTTAAAGCATTCCTTATTTACCCCAATTATTTAACGTCCTGGAGATTTGGATGTTCATATATCTGATTATTGTTAAATGTTGAATGTATACCTATTTACGACAATAAATGTAATGAACGCATTTTTTACAAACCAATTTATTAACCTTCAAAAATACTAAACATAATACGTTATAAACATTACACTGGGGGGTTATCGAAATAATCCACGGTTTCTCCTGGTGGCGTACTCCTCTGTCCCCTTCCGGGCAATTTCAAGGCAACAGTTTCCGATTTCCCTAACGTCCCTTTGCTCAAAACCGGCCCTGGAACTTTCCTTTGCCCGTTTTCCCTTTGAATAAACTCTAATAGACTCATACTCGGCAACCAAGACTTATCTTTGAAAGCTGTCGCGACGATATTTCTGTTTGGCTCTGCATCGTAAGCGGCGCTTTCGCACCCGAAATGTTCACAATATTCGTGCACAAAATGTCTTTTATCCCTATTCATTGACTCGAAAGAATATGAACGACTCTTCTGTTTGCTCTGCTTGGCCAATTGAACTAGCTCGGTTAATTTATCGTGGACTTTTTGGCAAAACTGGGAGTCTTTCTTCGCCCAATTTCGCATAAAATCGGAATAACGGGGAGTTAGCTTTTGACTCAAATCGGGATTGCGGATCTGGAGACCTATAGCTAGGCGCCGGTTGCGTTCGAGAACCCGACATTCTTCCATGCATTCCAATCTGAAAATAAAAATTTAATTAGGACACCTTGTATACTACAAAAATAAAAAAAAATACATTTTTAAAATTGATGGTCTTTTGGGTTTGTTAACAATATCGCTGATATCCACAGCTTGATCTTTTAATAAATCGGCCATTTTGTCCTTCAAACTCGCCATTTCGATCTCCTTGTACGCCTCGGCTAACTCAATACAAGGCCTTGTCGCTTTCTGCAACCCACAAGGGCACGTGACCGGTACCATTTGTTTGCAGGGCGTGTCTGGACACGCCCCTTCGTGACACGTGACTCCGCATGGATGCCCGCATTGAACTCTCTTTACGTTACATTTCTGTTTACACGGCAAAGGACACGCTCCCAAATGACAAGGCTTGTCACACTTGTGTGCCCCACATGGCATTGCTTTCCCACACGGCAGTCCACAACTGAAATCCTCTTGGTAGCACGGAATGGCCGACCTCTGCTCGTGTTTCCCGTAACACCACCTTTTGCATAAGACGGTACAGGGTGGACACGCCCCCGTGTGACAGGCGTGATTGGCGTCATGGCCACAAGGGCGTGGCCTAGAACACGGATTGTTGCAAGGAGGCGGTTTCGTTCCGCACGGAATTGGCGGGTACAAAACGTTAGCTCCACACTCGCAATACAATTCGTCGAAACTGGTCTCTATGCACGGTGGGCACCGCCCACTATGACACGTCCTCTCGCAACGGTGTTGACCACAAGCGAGCATATGGTTGCAAGGGAGGGGACAGATGTGCTCGATTTCAATACAACAGCGTTGATTGCAACGATGTTTGCCACAGAGGCGTTTCTTGGTACATTTTTTCTCGCATCGGGCATCGTCGGCTTTCGTCGTCACTTGTCCGCAGGGGATTTCCCGGTCCATGTGACCGCAGCGACAACGAATCAAAGTCGTGAGGGGACATGGAGGACAAGGACCTTCGTGACAAGGAAGTTTACAGGAGTGGGGGGCTGCGGGTTGCCCACAATTTAGTATTTTCCCACAAATCTGAAACAATAATTAAATTAAAGAAAATTTTAACAAATTTAATTAAGTTACTTTATCACAGCAAGGTATAGGATCCAGACACGATTCTCTTCTCTCTTTCAATTCAGTCCTCCCGCAAGGACACGTCTTAACCTCCTCCACATCTCTAAGACACACCTCACAATCCCCTTCGTGACACACCTTGGTGCATTTGTGATTCCCACAACTCAAACCCTTTCCACAAAGTTCCCCACATGAATAATTCTCCGCCCCTTTGAACTCTTCCCTACATTTCACTTTACGCCCCACCTTCCCGCAGTAACAAATCTGTCGCAACTCCCTGTCGCATTCCATACATGGCCCCACGTGGCACTTCGCCCTGCATTCATGCACCCCACATGACAATTTCTTCCCACAAATGGCCCCACAAACAATTTCGGTATCAGCGCTGCATTTTACGGTTTGTGAGGTGACCCCACATCCGCAGGGCTTTGCCACCATAGCGTTACAATCTGGACAGGGCCCCGGATGGCACAGAATGGTGCATTTGTGGTCACAACGGCGCGTTTTTTCACACAATTCGCCACAAGCATGCGGGACTACGCCCGGAAGGGGCCGTGGCTCCACAGTCTTGCCGCAGTAGCAAGTGTACTGTTTAGGAATGTCGCTACAGACATTTTGACAAGCTGGACAACGCCATCCAGAATCCAGTTTTGAGGAGTTTGCCCAGGCGATGGTACAGTTGAGGTGGAAGATATGGTAGCACTGCTGACAAGTCCAGATTTTGTCAGTGTGTTTGATTTTTTCGCAACAGACGAGACACTCGAGTGTGCGACGCGAGAGCATCTGCTCAAGACGTTCACGCTGCGAGGCTGCGTCAACTGTAAAACAAGTTGAACGTTGGGCAATCTATAGATTTAAAGATACTTACACTTCTTTTGCACGTTGTTAGTGCACTTGCGATTTGTGTTATTTGAACGCCAATCTCGGCCACTAGCCCCATTATCCTCGTAACTCCTATTAGCCTTCCCATATTTTCCATACCCTCTCCCATCATAAAAATCATACTTATCCCTACTTCTATAATTATTCCTATATCTACTGTTACTATTTTGACTCCTTCCGTCTTGTTTCTGATTAAACTTATCTACTTTTTCATCATTTTCTAGACACTTCTTTTGTTCAGGCTTACTCCTAGTAAACGTGCGTCCACTTCCATACCTTTCATTCTTCCTTCCGTTATTCCAATTCTTCCTTTCATTCGTTTTTTTCTTAGTTCCGGCTCCAACATCCTCATTAGAGGGATTTGGGGCCCAATTATTAGTCACCTGACTGGTTCCAGGCTGTTCCAGATAATTATTCTGGTACGTTTGCCCATCATAATAATTGTAACCCGTATTTACGGCACTGAAGTTGGCACCATTAGGATCATTATAATAAGACATGTTGTTGAAATATTGAACATATTCTGGATTACATCCTGGAAATCCTCCATTCATCTGATCTTCGTAGGGACCCCAATACGACATACTACACGACAAAATCTGGTCAGAACTAAGAGCAAACTTAATTGAAGTTAATTATATTTACCGTTTAGTGCAATAATTTCGTTCAGTTGTGTAATTTATTGCAAATTACGTGGGGTAAGATTAGTTGAGCTTACAAATTTTGACAGTGGAAAAAATGACAGATGACAGATAAGAATGTGAACATTACCGAAAAGGTGATTTTTAGAGTATTTTTAATCAAATAAACCGGAACCGGGAATAACATAACAATTACGCGTTTAGGGTTATTAAATATGTTGCCTTAAAAGTAGGAATTTTGGGGGCAAAGGAAATAAACAAATTTGCGCATGACTGTCCTTGACACCGAAAACGTATATTTGGTTGCCTATACTTAATTACATAATCACATTTTTTATAATTTGTTATAATAACTCTCATGTACGACCATCCTGTGGTCAATATCCCTCACAGTAGCACACCCTGTAATAGCCATGGCATAATCAAGTTCGGTTTTAAGTATATTTAGGATTTTCTTGACCCCTTCTTCTCCACTGTGGGCCAGGCCCCATAGGGCCGGTCTTCCAAAGAACACCATCCTTGCGCCCAATGCTAAAGCTTTGAAGACGTTAGTACCGTCAGTGATGCCCCCATCCATATAAACCTCGACTCTGTCTCCAACCGCTCGCACAATCTCTGGGAGAGCCTCAATCGAGGCTGGTGTCCCATCAACCTGTCTGGCTCCATGATTCGAAACCAGTATTCCCTGTACCCCCAAATCTGCCGCAATAAGAGCATCTTCAGCCGTCAAAACTCCTTTCACAACAATTGGTAGTTTAGTGAAACTCTGGAGCCACTTGATGTCTTTCCATTCCAAGCTTTGGTCGAAAAGTCGGTTCACATAGTTGTTGAGACCAGAACCGGACTCGGTTTGGTTAATACCGGTGGCTTTGTCGCCAGCAAAATTGGCGAATTTAAGATGCGGGGGCAAGACAAATTTATTACGAATGTCGGCGAGACGCAGCCCGAACATGGGGGTGTCGACGGTGAGGACTAGGGCTTTGAAACCGGCCTTTTCGGCCCTTTCGACCAGTCTGCGGGTGACGTTTCGGTCATTGTAGATGTAGAGTTGGAACCATTTGGTACAGTAGGGGGCCGCTTGTGCCACTTCTTCAATGCTGCTAGTTGCTATGGTGCTTAAAGTGAAGATGGTACCCATGGCCTGAGCAGCTAAAAAATATTTTTGTTTTGATTATTTTGATTTTGATGTTGAGAAAAGGTTTTACCTCGAGCATTGGCACACTCGCCCTCTGGGTGGGCCATCCTTTGCATAGCCGTGGGGGAAATCCCGATCGGAATTTGGACTTTCTCGCCTAACACAGTGGTCGAAAGGTCTCTTTTGGCAACGTTTCTTAAACATCTTGGCCTAATTTTGTACCTAAACACAAATAAAACAATTTAATTTTTCTTTGTAAATTAAAAAAATTCAAAATCTTTACTTGGAGTAGGCTTTCCTATTATGAGCCAAAGTCTCTTCGGCACCAGCCCCACTTCGATAGTAATCGAGAGCATTTCGTGGCAAGACATTGAAAGCATGTTTTTCAAAGTCTTTGACACAAACTATTGCCTCGCTCATTTTTTCTTGGTTGTTTCGTGGCGACTGAATGCTTGCAAATGAAGAAAAATGTATATTATTTTGTACGTATTCTGATGACCAATAATTGACCCTAACATGATTAAGTTATCGTTGTTTATACTGATATTCTATTATAAAGCACGCGAAGGACATATGGAAGACGTAAATTGATAGTTTTCCGCTTGTGGGGGGTAAGAGTCGGACTGAGTTAGTTAATTTTTATCATTTTTTGCATGAATTATTCGTATAACGTGATGACATGCAAATTCTTTTGAAGTTTATCGATTCACTAAAATTTTTCCGATGTGTGAAGAAATCAGAAAAATCGATAAATGAGAAAAAAAATTAATAACAAATTTAAACAAATTAAAATATTGTCTTATTTATTTACACAAGAAACAAAATAATACACCTTATCTCCAGTTGCAATGCATTTTAAGGACAGTAAACATAATAAACAAATGTACATACAGTGTGTCCCCGGATTGAGTTTATAAGAGGAAATTTTTTTTAGCTTTCATTTTACGCCAAAACTGCAAAGGAAAAACATTTTTTGCTTCACCTGAAACGAGCAAATCTGAACTTAAAACTTCATTATTCTGATTCACTAAAAAGAAAAAATAACACTACCAACAAGCATTTTGTAACTGAGAAGAAAACAGTTATTTTTTGTTCAATTCTATGTGCTAAACTCAAAAATAATAAAGAAAATTCCATAGCACGTCAGATTTTAAAGTTAGGCATTTTAAGATATCATATGTAAGTATGTTCGACAAAATCGCCGAAAAACGAAACACTTGAAATTCATTTTCTCCATTCTCATTTAAATTTTTTTCCCCCAAATTTGGGTGCCGTTAGTGACGAGCAAGGGGATTAGGATATATTGACGATGGAAAAGAAGTACCAAGGGAGAAGGGATCCACCTATGATGGGGGATTACTGCTGGTTCCTGATAAGGGAAGTTAAAACACCCTGCAAAAGAAAGTCAGCTTTTGCAAAAAACTCATCTACAACAGATTTATGTTACATCTTTCAAAATTGTTCTTGTTTAGTAAATCAATTAATTTAATGAACAATTTTTACTATAAAATTTGAGAAAACTATTTTCCTGTAACTTAAAATCTGTACGTGATGGAGAATTTTTCTTATCAAATTCGTAATTAGGGATGTTAATGTACCCTGACACGTGTCAATAGGTCATTATAAAAAAAAAATGTTTTTTTTCCCTCTTCTGTTCTGTTCTTCCCTCAATCTGTTGACATACTGTTGTATATTGACTCCATCAAATTCTTTAGCAAATCTTAAAAAAATTAAATTATTATAATCATTTGTCAAAAAATTTGGTTGGGACAAGTTAAGGGAGTCAATTTACTATAAAAACTTATCAACAAAAAAAACTTACTTTGTTCAACTACTGAAACAAAGGTAGCGTTTTTATTTCGAGGCTTGTTGGTTGAGAATTATTACGAGTAGATAAACAATATTTTTTGTATAGTGATTATGAAGGTTAAATTTTCATCAAAGTTATACTTTTTCAAACGATTTCTATAGTTATTTCTATACTTTCTATAGAGTTCGTTGCGATACGTTAAGTACGATTTGATTTATCAAACTGATATCTTTTTGGTCTTTGGGGTTCTTGGGGTTATCGCTACGCAAAAAATGTTGTGTACAACTCGTTTTGAAAGTCCTTTTTTTCAGTCATTTGCTTGATTAACTCGGGCAGAGCCCTCGTTAATCAAATGCAAATTCGTGAAAAAAAGTAGGTATGACTTTCAAAACTAGTTGTACCAATAACTATTATCATCGTGTATAATACAATATTTTTTCTATAGCAGGACTTAGAGTTTAAGAGAAAAAATATAATTTCAAACAAAAAATACAATTTTTGAATTTCTCAATGCGAAACGTCAGATTATTTTTAATAGATTTAAAGCAAGTTTAAGCCTTGTTGAGTCTAATTTGAAGAATAAAATGTTGTATTCAACTCTTTTGAGTGTAAATCGGACGCTTTATTCCACCTCGTGGATGATAAAATTTGTAAATTTAAATGAATAAAATATCCTTGCTGTTAAAGTGTTACTTTATCTACCCTTGCAGTTAAAGTGCTAGGTACTTTATTTAGAGTTGATAAAGAAATAGTTTAACATCTGTTATAGAAAAAAGTAATACTATAAAACATTGTAACGTTTAAATAAAAATAGAAGATGAGATGATTAAAAATCACCGTACAAAATTCGGGTGCGGGACGGTCAGTGTCTAGGGGTCAAGTTAAGAGCCAGCAACAAATCCAGTAACGTTATACCTAATGGCCTCAGAGTAATTCTGGTAAAATTACACAACTACCACAGATTATCTGTTTACAATCAAGTAGCGACGATAGTTCTTCTGAAGAAACCAGTTAACTTGTGTGTTAACTTGTGAAACCAGCTATTAAAACGCCTGCCAAGCAACAAGCAGCTAAACCACCACAAAGACAAGAAAGTAGATCAAATGATGATTCTTCAGAAGATGAAACACCAAAAGCAAAGCAACCTGTTCAGAAAACACCGGCTAAACCTGCTGTTAAACCAGCGCAGAAGAAAGAAAGTAGTTCAGATCTCTCATCTTCTGAAGAAGAAAGATAGTTCAGAAGACAATTCTGAGGATTCAGATGATGAGCCATCAAAGCCACAACAGAAAGTAGCATTTAAACCTACTGCTAAAGTCATGCCACAGAAAAAGAAGAGTTCAGATGGGTCATCAAGGCAGTCAAATTCCCTTCTAAACCGATCGTTAAAATACCTGAAGAAAAAAGAAAGTAATTCTGAAGATAGTTCAGATGAGGTGCAAAGCAGTTGCAAATAAAAAACAAACCTACAGGAAAAACACCACCAGCAAAGAAGGAAAGTAGCTCAGAAGACTCATCTTTGGAAGAAGAACCCACAAAAGGGTCGGCTAAACGGGTAATCTTTGCTACTACAAAGATCAAACCACTATTCAGGGCGCCCACCACCAAAGTAGGTTAAGTTTCAACTTCCTTTCAATATTTTAATACCCCATTTTAGGCCCTCTTTGACTCGTTAATTCGCAAAATCGTCTTTCTATCTCAGTTATCGTGACGAAAACCTGGTCCCCCAAATTTTTATTTCGAGTACGTGTTGGCCCCCAATTTTTCGTGTTGCGGAGGAGCCTCCTTTTGATGGTGTGACCTTGAAAGAAATAAATGAAAAAAAAAAGATTTCAGTTAGTTAAGTATATAGGCAATCAACAAAACGCTCCTGTTCCAAGTGTTTCAAAACCGATCCTTTATTTTTTTTTTAACCCTTCTTTTTAATTTTTGCTCTTCAGTCACTTCTAAATCAAACGAAAGCTGTACGTAAAAGGTTTATTTGAAAAAATATTTACAAATTTTCATAAAAAATTCATTTAATCAATTATTTCATCTGCCTCTCCAACTCCTCGGCAATCGCCTCTAAAAAGTCTTGAGTATTCAAATACATCCCTGGCTTGACATTTGGCAATCCATGAATGGAAGCGGCCAAATCCTTGGTCATTTTGCCCGATTCGACACAATCGACGCAAGCCTTCTCCAAAGTTTGCGCAAATTTAGTCAAGTCGGGAGTTCCATCGAGCTTGGCTCTGTGTTCCAGACCCCTAGTCCAGGCGAAAATGGACGCTATAGGATTGGTGGACGTGGGGTTACCCTTCTGGTGCTCCCGGTAATGTCTCGTGACTGTCCCATGGGCAGCTTCTGACTCGATAGTCTTGCCATCGGGACACATGAGAACTGAGGTCATCATCCCCAAGGAGCCGTACCCTTGGGCGACAATGTCAGACTGGACGTCTCCGTCGTAATTTTTGCAAGCCCAGACGAAACCACCAGAGGATTTCAATCCCTGAGCCACCATATCGTCAATCAGGCGGTGTTCATACCATATTTTTTTCGCTTCATACTGCGATTTGTACTCTTTATCATAAATTTCCTGGAAGATGTCCTTGAAGCGGCCATCGTATTTCTTCAAAATTGTGTTTTTGGTGGACAGATACAACGGCCAACCTTTATTCAAGGCTACTTGGAAGGACGAATGGGCAAAAGCCCGGATACTCTCATCCGTATTGTACATTCCCATGGCGACTCCGCCCCCTTTGTACTTGAAAAGCTCGTACCTTTCGACTTGGCCATCGTCCGAAGTGTAGACCATCTCGACTGTCCCTGGTTTCGTTACAACAAAATCCTTCGCCTTGTACTGATCCCCATGGGCGTGTCTGCCAATGACGATGGGCTTTGTCCACCCGGGAACCAACTTGGGAATGTTTTTACACAAGATGGGTTCTCTGAAAACTGTTCCTCCTAAAATATTCCGGATGGTGCCATTGGGCGACAGCCACATTTTTTTCAAATTGAATTCTTTGACTCGTTGCTCGTCGGGGGTGATGGTGGCGCATTTGATCCCCACGTTGTGTTTGAGAATGGCGTTGGCGGCGTCGATAGTCACTTGGTCGTTGGTTTGGTCGCGGTGGGGTAGTCCCAAGTCGTAGTAAAGCGCCTCAAGTTTAACGTAAGGAAAGATGAGACGTTCTTTGATTTTTTCCCAGATGATTCGAGTCATTTCGTCGCCGTCCATTTCGACCACGGGATTCTTTGCCACCACGCGTTGGGTGCCAACTGAAAACAGTTATTAATTTTAAGAGATTTTTTTAAACTACCTTCTTGAATGTATAGTTTTTGGCTGGGTTATTACATGAACTTGAAAAAGTACTGAAATCTATTTAAAAATCCAGCTAAAAATAGGAATGATTGGACAAATGTTTATTTCATTTAAGTAAAACAAATTGTTCTATCGGCCTGGCTACCTTCATTAATCATATTACGATAAAGCAGTCCTTCAAATCAGTTTCGTAAATTAGGCGGATGTAATTTATTACAATTATTTATTACTTTAAAAAAGAGGAAAAAAATTGAATTTGGCACATATTTTGTTGGAATGAACAAAAAAATCCCAGAACTTTGTCATAAAAATTAAATTTAATGTGCGCCTTTAGAAGACTTTTCGTGTGTATAGTAATAAAATAGAAGTTTTGTACAATAAAAAATATTTAAGTTTAATAATCTTTTTAAATATTAGTGACATCCCCGAATTTAGTGTCTATCATGTTTGGACCAACAAACTGGTGTTTAGGTAGGCTAGGTACGTATAGCAATGTCCTTAATTATTCATTAAAAAAACTTTTTTTAAGTTTACATGCATATTTTATATTTATTTTGTATTTTTGTAAAAAAAAAAAATTAATTTGGTATCTTTGGTATTGCAAAATTTCCTAAATGAAAGGCAACTTTCTAAATCAGTCAGTATTCTTTTTATTATTTTTGTAATGTTGGCAACGAAAACATCCCCCTCTTATTTCGACATAAGTGGGTGTTCAAATTTTGACGTTTTCAAAAGTTCGTTTTTGTTCACATGTTCCAAGTTAATTAAAATTACCCAAAAATGAATCATACAGCAAACAAGTTATCAATAAATTATTTGATGTCGGTTTGCCCACTTCAGGTAAGACTTACTTTCAAGTAAGCTATTAATTTGATAAGATTAAATTTTTATCACTAATAATAATTTACAGAGTTTTTATGCCAAATGCAGGCAAAACAAGCCTCGTGCCTGTAATAAACACAAGAAACTCCACGAAAAAATTTCAGAGATAACCTCTCCACATGTCGAAACTTTGAACGGACCAAAGATCTCGAAAGTGGTCGGACGCCCGATATTTAGGCCATTTTGCCTCACTGCCTGTCATCCCTCAAAGTGCCCTTTGGGCGCCCTATAAACCGCCCCGGGCAATTTATAAAAAAATATACTCACAATTGCGCCCTTGCAGGACCCCATTTTTGGTAACAACAGCGCTCAAGCTTTTTGAAAATTTCGTTAAAGTACCGGCCATTATAACCTCAACTGTTTCAGCCCGGAGAGAAACTGAAAATCGAAAAACAACTTGTTGTCTTGTTGAGGTTGTGTTGTGGAGTGGGCGGCGGAAATATCCGAGTCTCGACCGACGATGCTTTAAAACCACTGATAAAACGTTTACATGGCAGCAATGAAACGGAGACGATCCTAGCGATCGTGTTTTGTCGATTCGATTTGGCGCTTTTACTTGAAACAGGGCGTTTGGTTGGGTGGGTTAGGTCACGCCTAGTCGTAGTGGGGTAACAGGTTGGTGGCGTGTAAACGCACCCAGTTTTCAGATAGGAAAACAGAGCTTCCAGTTGTGATAATTTAGTTGGTTGTGTTGTTGTTTCCGGTTTCAACCTGAAATTTCAGACGCTAGGGATAATTTTCTGGTAAGTGAGGTTTTTGCTTCATTTTGATTCGAATATTTAGTCATAAGACTGTAATAATAAACAGTGGTTGGGCTTAATTCTAAAATTATTTTGTGGACGGGCTATTTAGGTCGATTGAGCTTTTTGTGTTTTGTCATACGCCGGTTTATTTATCACAAACACGTGGCGTTTCAGTTACATTTAGAAATAAAAAGCCATTTTCAGGTATTTTGACTTGAACAATGTTTGCACTTAAGTTTTGCCGAAAAGGTCTTCATTCTCGCAGGTATAAAATCTGAAGAGACACCCAATAAATCGGTCGTAAACCTCTCTCTTATTTATTTATTTTGAAACTTTTACTTGGAAGCCTCTTTGACGATTTGACCGTCTAGGAAAAGAGGACCAAAAGATTCTTTAGAAGGTCCAGGTACATAGCTTTTAGCTTGATTAGTGATTACCTACTTATACTATGCAGAAAAATTCAAAAATGTTATCGAATGTGCCGAATGCGTTTGATAACAGATAAGACATAAGTAGTGATCAAATCTACTTTAATGACCACTTTCCTAGAATATGATAAGAAACTAACATTTATGAGACCTGGGGAGTTATTAGGTACTTGTGTTCAAAATAAATTATTACGGATTTATATTGTTTATAGTTATTGTAAACAAAAAGAAACCAATAGAAAGTATTTCTAATATACTTGAGTTGTTTCGAGGAAGTAATTAATTTTCATTTAGAACAATTATCGCTGCAGCGTCACTACATTGTCCACTTTACGAAATCGTCGCCGAATAGAAATAAATCTATTGACCACCAATGGTGTCTCTACGGAAAAATAAAGGGCTGACGACCGTGTAACGTGTAAATTGTTACATGCTGTTTAGCATAGTAATAACTGCTTTTCTAGAAGAAAAACAAAACTTTAATTGCACAGGAAGTAACGTTTACTCTGTCAATTATTAAAGAAAAACATTTTATTTATTTCTTTTTATCGGAGAATAATCTGATTGGAATATTTTATGATAATCGTTGCAAACAGTTTGGAGTCATTGGACTGGATTATCATAATTTGCATCTGTTGACTTTTTGCGATGAATGGATGAGTTTACCATGACCTTGGAAAAGTTATATAAGGAAAATGTAAATTTTAAATATGATGTGTTCCGAATAATAGTTTTATGTTTCTATCAGGATTTTTAGAGGACTCATCCATATTGTTTTGATCTCATTCAAAAGTCTGAGTTATTACCGTAATTTTTATGGTATTAGCATTTTGCAGGTAAAAATAATAATTATTGCGTATTTTTTATTTTTCGTAATTTTCAGCCTTGTTTTACATTTAAATACAACTAAAAATATCAATTTTAGCGTCCACAACTATGTGAAGTGGATATTAGATGTTTTTTTTTTCATGAAACCATAGAAAAATAGCTATTATTAATTACCCAAATTGGTTAAACTCGAGTAAAATAATTGAGTCGAATCTTTTTTATTTTCTTTACAAAAAAAACAACTGTATATTTTTTGAAATAAAAAATAATCGTATTGTAAATAAATTATAGTGTATCTATTTATTAAAAAAACCTTCATTTGGCAAGCTTTTAAAACCTGCAATTACAATTATCATTTTAATTGACCAAAATCTACTTGAAGCATTTTAAAATAAACACTAAACGCGTGCCAATATTTCGATAACAGCTTTCACCGAAATAATATCAAATGTTTTAATTGCTCATACGTTAGCGTCTTTTCAAATGACGTCTATTATCTTTATTACAGCCTTTGTTGTTGTATTTTTAGGTAATAATATTTATTTACTCGTTGGTAGAAAAATATTTTAAGACTGAATAAATATTGATTGAATACTTATGACAATGACAATATTGAATATCTACTGAATTTTACTGTGGGTGCTTACTTGTTATCATTAGGAACACTTACCTTATTTAACCTAATACAGAGTATGATATATTACCCATTTAATAAGTCAATTCATTTTATAAATAAGAAACAAATAAATTGCAGTTTTTGTTGAGACCAATCCTTTATTTGGAACGTCAAGGTTCTCGCAATATTTCATAATTATATCGACGACAAATCCTTTAATCTTCGAAATAATCGACAGAAGTATTCTCAACCTTTGACTTGTCGTTTCAAAATTTATCAAATTTTTAAAACAACCAAATTTAAAAACAATTGTCAGTCGTGCATCGTATTATCACGCGAATTTTCACATTGAAAGTGAAGGTAAACCAAGTCCCATAACTGTCCCAGATTACATTTTTCATTACTTAATGAAAGTAAAAGTGAAATTATCTATAACGCAAATGAAATATTCTTCCGATAATTTAGATTAGGAAGCTTTTAAGCTATTTCGGGCCGAATCACTATAAACCTAGATTTGCGTCATACCATCTTCGTAAATATTACTACTAGTGGGCCCCTTCAAAACACTTTGTTTTTTTAAGATCTTTGCTCTGTTTTTAAAGATACATTTAAAAAGCAGATAATTCAAGGATTTTGCCCTGAAACTAGGGCAAAAATCCTTAAAAAACAAAGTGTTTTGAAGGAGCTCTACTGTAAGTAGTAATATTTTTATAGATGAACTACGTTGGAGGCTACTCTTCAACTAGCGAGAAATTGTGAATTTAAATATTGATCCGTTAATTAGTTTCTATGCAGCTCGGGAAAATGCAACCTTGAGAGAAATCACCTGATCTCAATCTGAATAAAAATATTAAAAACCACAAATATTTACAGCAAGATAGTGTGACATATCTAAACCCTTTTTATTTTTCTTTCCAGAAATGTATTAAAAATAAGTGACTGTCATCACAATGGCAAGAGGAATTTTGCGTGTTTACTATACTCGAAGGAATCTCTTAAGTAATGTAGATAAACAAATAGTCCGGACTTCGAATTTTCACAATCAGTGCCCCAAGTATAGAAAGTGTTTTTTGGAACGAAGATTTTCAAGTCAGGCAAAAAATGAGACGGTTGAGGGAATCCCCTACGAAAAATTATCAATAGGAGTACCCAAAGAACTGTGGCAGAATGAGAAACGAGTGGCTTTGACTCCGGCTGTGGCTCAGACTTTAAGCAAAAAAGGCTTTACCGTAAATGTGGAAGAAAATGCCGGTTTGGGAGCCAAATTCCGCAATGAAGATTACGAACAAGCCGGTGGTGTGATAGTGGACAAGAAAAGAACGTTCGATTCTGGTTAGATTCACATTTTTTTGTAAAATTGTCATTTATTTCTTCGTAGATATTATTTTAAAGGTTAGGCAACCCTTAGACTCTGAAGTAGGTAATTTCCGCGAGAGCAGCACACTCATATCATTCCTATACCCCGCCCAGAACAAAAGTCTAGTCGATAAATTGGCCGAACGGAAGATCAACGCTTTCGGTAAATCCCCAAGTAGAATTTCGCTTCGAAAATTTCCTTAATTTTGTTTGTAGCAATGGACTGTATTCCACGCATCACCCGAGCCCAAGTTTTCGACGCTTTGAGTTCCATGGCTAATGTTTCCGGTTACAGAGCTGTCATCGAAGCCGCCAATCACTTCCCTCGATTTTTTTCCGGCCAAATCACCGCCGCCGGAAAAGTCCCCCCGGCTAAAATACTCGTTGTAGGGGGCGGCGTCGCCGGACTTGCTGCTATCGGTCAGGCCAAAAGCATGGGTGCTATAGTTCGAGCGTTTGATACTCGGAGCGTCGTTAAAGAACAAGTCGAGTCCATGGGGGCCGAATTTCTTACGGTTAATATTGTCGAAGAAGGAGGTACGTCTGGGGGATACAGTAAAGAAATGTCCAAGGAATTCATCGATGCCGAACACGAATTGTTTGCCAAACAGTGCAAAGAAGTGGACGTGGTTATAACCACGGCATTGATTCCGGGGAAAAAAGCCCCGGTTTTGATACTTAAAGATCATGTTTTGTCGATGAAACCAGGAAGTGTGATTGTGGATTTGGCCGCCGAGGCGGGTGGTAATGTCGAAACGACAAAACCGGGTGAGGTGTATAGCCTGAATGACATTACACATATCGGTTTCACCGATTTATCGAGTCGGTTGCCAACGCAAAGCTCGACACTATATGCTAATAACGTGTCGAAGTTTTTGTTGTCGATGGGGGAGAAAAATCATTTTCGGATAAATTTGGCCGACGAGGTGGTGCGAGGTAGTATTATTTTACAAGAAGGGAAGATGTTGTGGCCTCCCCCGGCTCCGGTTGTCGCTCCACCGCCCCCACCAGTTAAGAAAACCGAATCTAAAGTACAGGAAACTGTAACAGAGAGTCCGTTAATGGCCACTGTTAAAGACTCGCTCTTGTGTACTACTGGTAAAAAAATTCAATGTCTGTGTTTGATAATTTCATTGGAATTTTTTACAGGTATTGGTACGATATTAGGTTTGGGTGTTTTATCACCCAACCCGGCTTTTACCTCAATGTTAACCACTTTCGGTTTATCTGGAATTGTGGGATATCATACAGTATGGGGAGTAACTCCTGCTTTACATTCTCCTCTTATGTCCGTAACTAATGCTATTTCAGGTATTACGGCTGTTGGGGGCTTGCTTCTTATGGGAGGCGGCTATTACCCCACTAATTCAATCGAAGTAAGTACATTTTTGGAAACTTTCTAAAAAAATTCTTCTATAAATTTGTAGGCATTAGCTGCAGCCGCGGCGTTTGTCTCGTTTATCAATGTTTTCGGCGGTTTTGTCGTCACTAAACGAATGTTAGACATGTTTAAAAGGTAAGCAAAGCGACACTCGTGGGAATTCCCATATTTTTGACTTTTTTAGACCAGAAGATCCCCCTGAATACAGCAGCCTTTATGGCATTCCCGCCGCCGCATTTTTGGGGGCTTACGGCTGGGCGGCTTTCCAAAACCTTCCGGAAATCCATCAAGCTGCCTATCTTGCAGCCTCGTTATGTTGTGTTGGCGCTCTCGCAGGCCTCAGCTCGCAGAAGACCTCTCGATTGGGCAACAACATCGGAATGGTACTTCCCCCATTTACACCTCTTCAAAACTAATAATTTTTGCCCTCAGATTGGAGTTTCCGGAGGAATCGCTGCAACTCTGGGCCAGATGGCCCCCAGCACCGAAGTATTGGCTCAAATGGCCGCTTGCTTGATCGCGGGAGGCGGTCTAGGCACACTCATCGCCAAAAGAATTCAAATCACGGATTTACCCCAACTCGTCGCAGGCTTTCACAGTTTGGTAGGGTTGGCAGCCGTGCTGACTTGTACTGCGACTTTTATTCATGACTTTCCCAATTTTGCAACGGATCCGGCTGCCAATGTTGTCAAAACGGCACTATTTTTGGGCACTTACATCGGAGGGGTGACCTTCAGTGGGTCACTAATCGCATATGGAAAACTCCAAGGCATTTTAAAATCGAATCCGTTGCTTCTTCCCGGGAGACACGCTCTGAATATGGGTCTGTTGTTAGGAAATGTGGGTGCAGGGGCGTACTTGTTTTTCGACCCTAGTATGATGGGAGGCTTAGGGGCCTTAGGGACAACAGCCGCGTTATCAACAGCCATGGGTGTGACCCTTACTTCAGCAATAGGTGGCGCTGATATGCCTGTAGTGATTACGGTCTTGAACAGTTACTCTGGATGGGCCCTTTGTGCAGAAGGTTTCATGTTAAATAATAATTTAATGACGATAGTTGGCGCTCTGATCGGTTCAAGTGGTGCCATCTTGTCATATATCATGTGCAAGGCTATGAATAGGTCACTCCCCAATGTAATCTTAGGTGGCTACGGCACATCCAGCACCGGCTCAGGCAAACCGATGGAAATTACCGGCACTCACACGGAAATCAACGTAGATGGCGCTGTCGAAGCCATCAACAACGCACGTAATATTATTATCGTTCCTGGCTACGGTCTGTGCGTCGCAAAAGCGCAATACCCGATCGCCGAAATGGTCAGTCTGCTGAAAAGTCAGGGTAAAAATGTCAGATTTGCGATACATCCAGTCGCCGGTCGTATGCCAGGCCAATTAAATGTACTTTTGGCCGAAGCTGGAGTCCCGTATGACGATGTCCTCGAAATGGACGAAATCAACGACGATTTCCCCGAGACTGACTTGGTGCTCGTAATTGGGGCCAACGACACTGTTAACAGCGCCGCCGTAGACGACCCCAATTCGCCCATCGCCGGAATGCCCGTCCTCAATGTCTGGAAATCAGATCACGTGATCGTTATGAAACGTTCACTAGGTGTAGGCTACGCGGCTGTTGATAATCCAGTTTTCTACAAACCCAACACGTCCATGCTACTCGGCGACGCGAAGAAAACATGTGAGCAACTACTAGCAAAAGTGATAAGTGTTAATAAATAAGTCATTTCCGTTTCTTTTTTACAATTAGATTAAGTATTTCAAAGCTTATTTTATTTTTTAAAAACTTAATTATTGTACACCGTCGTCGCGCCTTTTTTGTTTTAATTCGTAATTCTGTAAATATGAATGTGATGAATTGAATAAATCAATGTGATATAATTACCTCTTTTGCAATGTCTTTGAGATTTTTGGCCATAGCTTTGCCCGTCTTATCCACCATGGATGATAAGAAACCGAAACGGTTTTGTAATAGGATATGGGGGTGATCGAACTCTACCGCTGCTCCTGCATCCATGACCAAAACTCGGTCTGAATCCATAATGGTGTGCAGACGATGTGCAATTGTTAGAACGGTACATTTGGCAAATTTTTGACGAATCGTAGTTTGGATAAACTTATCGGTTTGTGGGTCAACGTTGGCCGTGGCTTCATCCAGTACCAAAATTCTGTTATTCCGCAAGACTGCTCGGGCAAGGCAAATAAGTTGACGTTCACCCACGCTGATGTTAACTCCGCCCTCCGACACGTGATGTTTTAAACAATCTGCGATTGGTTAAATTTAAATGAGTCGTAGGGTTTGGCTGGTATTCCAATTTTCGAACATACCGACTCCTTCCGAAAGTGCTGCTTTACTTTCAACAACAATCAAAGCATTGATAATCTCTTCGTCGCCATGTTTATGAAACGGATCCATGTTGTATCGCAAAGATCCCGAAAACAGGACTGGCTCTTGTGGTATGATAGATATTTTTCGTCTAAGATCGTGTAACCCGATCTCGTTCGTATCAACTCCATCGACCATTACGGCACCGTCGAAATAAGCCAATCGGAAAAGAGCCGAAATCATTGAGGACTTCCCTGCACCGGTTCTCCCTACGATTCCTATCTGCGGAAATAAGTCTAGAGTTGTGATTAGTCTAAGTTACCTTTTCCTTAGGGTCAATTTTAAAATTTAGCCTTTTTAGAACGGGAGGGTCATTGGGTTTATACTTAAGGACAAGGTTTTGGAATTCGACTCGGCCTTCTTGTGGCCAATCGGGAGGAGGCTCTTTACCAGGCTTCTAAAAATATATTTGTTTGTACACGGTGATTGGAACAAATGCGAAAATGCTACAGATTTCAAGTCCGGTTCATGTTCAACTCGATTTATGTATTCTAAGATTCTTTCGACTGAAGTCATTTGGTTCTCGAGTTCGGCTGACTGCTTCATGCCCCACTGAAATAGGCCGGTTAAACCGATTGCTTGGGTTATAGCCAAACCGACGTTACTTCCGGTGTTGTCTGAAATCGATTTTTTAAATTTACCATTCATCCAGTGGGTATAGTTTATTAATACCAAAAATTAGAAAACTGTAAGCAATAATTGCGATGTAGAATGCACAAAGCAAGTCTAACCAATAGCCGAAAGCCCTCGCGCACGCAATAAACATGAACCAAGCACTCGAATGATCATCTTGCAACTTATCAAACTCCTTTGTTAGAATAGTTTCGGCATTATTTGATCGCACCGTCGTTAAACCTTGAATCGAAGCATTTAAATGTGCAAAAACCGGACTTCTGCCTGAAATTCTACCATAAATAATAACATTCATTTCACTATTTTCCCCCAAACGTACTTATTCCTTCCAGCCGTTTAACACTCCGACTTGTCTTGATATAAAATCGTCGCAAAAAGAAGAAAATCACACAAATCAAAAACGTTGGAATGATAAGGTAATAATTGACCATCGTCACAACCACAGCCGCCCCAAGCAAATTCAACATAATCTGAGAACAATCGATCATCGCGTTCGGCAGCATCTCATCGATAGCTCCCAAATCTTTGGAAAATCGGTTCAGAATTCGACCCGAAGTGTTGGTATTGAAGAATTGCATAGATGCTGTTATTATACTCTGAAACATGCGATCGTGCAAACTTGACAAAAATTAAATTTGCGCATGTAAGTCGAAAATTACTTGATACTGGCGCGCATACACACTGTGAAAAACACAAACGAACGCGTCAGGGCCACCACCATTGTGAGAAAAATGAGGACTGAGTAGATGGCGATTGATGAATCGGTGCCGAGATTTCGGAGGGTTAAACTGCTATTGTGGACGTTTTCATTGCGTGAGCGGATTTCTTCGACGTCCACCCTAAAAAAGTTGGTTAAAAATAAATATCACAACTTTTGTGTAAAAAATTGTTACCATTGGGCAAGGAAAAAATCCCCGCCGCTGGCTAGAAACTGTGCTCCTAAAAACAAGAGTACGACGCTAAAAATGACCAAACAATTGCCGCTAGCTTTGAAATACTGCTTGTAGATGTAACACTCGACTGAGCCTTGGGTCCTCAATTCGGCCGTTTGTTTCGGCGCATACTAGAAAGCAATTTTCACAAAAATTCTACTATTTTTTTCTACAACCCTTTGTCCTTCCTTATCAATCACATTTATGCTCAACGTACTCTGTATCCGCAAATCCTTCATGATAGACTCAACCCTCGTCACAGTTTGCACCTCAGTCTCCACGTCCACTGCCAACTGATTTTTCAAAAATTCAGTAAAATCCAGGCCCGTACTCCCCAAAAACTGGTACGAGCCTGTGGCTTCGATTGTCCCGTCGTGCATTAGAACGACATTTTCAACTTCGCTCAAAAATTGCAACTGGTGTGTGACCAAAACCACAATTTTGTCGGAAAGAAAACCCGTGATACATTTATCGAAGAGGTGTTTTCCGACACTGGCGTCCACGGCCGATAAAGGATCGTCCAGTAAATATATATCGGCTTCTTTGTAAACGGCGCGTGCCAGGTTTATACGCGCCCTTTGGCCCCCACTTAACGACGTGCCTTTTTCCCCAACTATGGTCTGGTCACCGTAGGGCAACAATTGAAAGTCGCGGATTAAAGCACAGGCCCGGACCACTTCGTAATATCTCTCCCTGTCGAATTCGTGCCCGAATAAAATATTCTGACGGACAGACCCTGCGAAAAGCCACGGCTCCTGCGATGCGTACGACACCACCCCTTTCACACGGACATTCCCTAGACACGGCTGTAATTCCCCTAGAATCGCATTCAAGAGCGAACTTTTACCCGCCCCGACTTTGCCGATAACTGCAGTCAATTGATTCTTTTCGATGGTCAAGGACACGTTGTGTAGACACACCTCGTCGTCGATTTTTGCCGAAACGTGACTCAAGGACACGTTCGGGGCATCCCATGTGTCACTAAGTTTGTCCAATTTGTTCAAATCGGGGTTGAATATAGTCGGATCGCCGACTTGTGTTTCAGTCATCAGAAGGAATTTTTTAATCCTTGTCACGGCAACATTGGTTTCGGCGATTTGTGCGATAGCGTAGGGGAAAAACAGAGTCATTGTTTGGCGCAGAATTTGATAAAACGAAGCTATGACGAAGACGCTTTCGGCTGTGATCGTGCGTTTGCGTAAAACAATCGCAACCACTGTTAAAAAAATTGCGAATCGAGTGGTAAACATGATAAACGATAAAATCGCCCCACGGATGTAAGAAGTTTGTTTCAAAACCTGTATTTCAAGACTGAAATTTGAAATTATTTTAGGATCGGACTAGATAAATTAGGCCCACCTTCGCAATTCATGGATTTGTTGAGCAAAGGCGTGCTCCCAGGTGTACATTTTTATAACTTGCATTCCTTGGATAATTTCGTTCATTTGTCGAACTCTTTCGTCCGTTCTTGCGGCCGTTTTGAGCCGAAATCGCGAAGTCCGGTTACCAAACCAGGCTAGAAAAATCTCTCTCAAAAACCTAATTTCCGAAGAAAAATAAAAAAACCTTGGAGTGGTATAACAATCAAAATCGCTGAAATTCCCACGACCACTGCAATTCCGATCTCTTTGTACATTATCAAAATGAAAAAAATCATCTGCAAGGGGGCGATCCACAAGTAGTGGAAATACAAGACCGATAGGTCGAATCGGTTGACATCGTTTGACATCAAATTGACGACATTGCCGACCGTAGGACCGGAAAGTGAGACTAAATCGAGTCGGAGGGTCTTTCTGTAGATGAGGGAGCAACACGCCACCCTAATTTTCATCCCTATGTGCATCACGGCCATCATACAGGGATGAATTATTGCGACGTTCACCAAACTGCACATAACGATGCCCGAAGCAAAAAAATATGCCTCGCCGAGTTGGATGGGGCTTTGGTCGTGGCTCCAGTACTTGAAAATGCGCATCAAGTATGTGGGGGAGTGTTGACTACAAAATTACAATGATTTTAATAATTTGAAAAAAAAAACTGCTTACGACTCCACGCTTTGTTCATTTTCCGGATTAAAATACCGCAAAAGCAGTCCCAGAAAAATCGGTTGACTCAACCTGACTGGCACTTCCATTATAAACAAAGCCGTCCCTTGCAACAGTATGTCTTTTAGAAACATTCTAACAAGGACTTTGGTCAAATTGGGCACCTCTCCGTGCTCCTTAGCCCTTTGCACTTCCCTACTCCAAAACACCGCCAATCTCTCGCCCAAAATCGACGATTTGTGTTCATCTAAAGGCTTCGTCAAATCCCCTTCGTCAAAATCCCTCTTATTTCCTTTCCTAAATATAGAAATGACGTACCAGAAGGTGATTAGCGACAACCAATTGGAATTTTTTTGCGGATGTTCTGGTTTTTTATTAATGCTAAACGAAGAATCACTTCGCATCATTTTTGTGACACAAGAAATGACACTGACAAGTTTCTGAAGTTTTATTCAAAACAAGAAATTTATTCACATTTTTTTCCTTTTTTCCCTTTTTTGTCATCGCCACCTGTGACTTCTTTGATGAGACGTTCGGTGGAGATGGATTTAGGCCTTTCGATGGGCAAGCCTAGAGCGCGATCCCAAACCGTGCAAGCCAAAACACCCAATGCGCGAGAAACCGCGAACAACACGGTGTAATAGGTCATTTCGGTCATGCCGTAATACTAAAATTACATAAATATTAACAATTAAAAATGAGAGAAAAAGCTTTTCTGTCGAATTACTTGTAAAAGGACACCGGAGTGGGCATCCACATTCGGCCAGGGGTTTTGTACTTTACCCAACTCTTTCAAAATCGGGGGAACCACCTCGAAAACCAGTGAAACAATTTTGAATAAGGGATCATTGGGAAGATACTTTTCTGCAAATTGTTTCTGAACAGTGAACCTCGGATCAGTGATTCGCAAAACGGCGTGGCCATAGCCGGGAACCACACGACCCGATTTCAGAGTTTTCCAAATGAAATCTTTAATTTTGTCATGAGTGGGGTCTTTCCCTACTTCTTTTTGCAAATTTTTCAACCAAACTAGTACTTCCTGGTTTGCTAAACCATGCAAAGGCCCAGCTAAACCATTCATACCAGCGGCATAAGACAAATAGGGGTCACTTAGGGCCGACCCCACCAAATGGACAGTGTGAGCAGAGACGTTACCGCCTTCATGGTCGCTACAAAATGGTTTTTGTGTGAATTTTTATCAAATTTTAGCTACTTTAAACCTGTGTATAGTCAAATATAACCGCATCAACTCGACAAACTCCTCGTTGTCAAACCCCAGCATCCGGCAGAAGTTCAAACTCCAGTCTTTGTCCGAATCCACGGTCCCTATCTCATCAGTCCCTTTGAAGGTGTGCTTGTAAATCAGTGCAGAAATGGGGGTAAGCTTTGCAATCAAATTCATGCAATCCTCATAGATGCTCTCCCAGTAGTTCGCCTTCTTCACCGTGGCGTACGACTTCTTGAACAGACTCTCCGTGTTACAAATCGAGCAAGCGGCCGAGAGCTGCGCCATGGGGTGCACATCTTTGGGGACTTGTTTCAGGAACTTGCACACGTGGGCCGGCAATTCGGAGCGACTGGCCCACTCCTCAGAGAGGGATTTCACTTGCTCGCTTGTGGGGATATCCCCAGTGAGAAGTAGCCAAAAGAGGCCTTCAGGCAAAGGCTGTTCGCCACAGTCGGCCTTAGGGAGCTTCTCCTGGCAGTCGGGAATGGAGTGGCCCCGGAAACGGATACCTTCATGGGGGTCCAGGACTGAAGTTTCGCAAATGAGACCCTTGATGCCTCGCATGCCGCCATACGCCTAAGCATGATGTTATGAGAGGGTGGGTGGGAGCGTAACTTACCATGTTGACGGTAACTTCGCCAATTTTGGTCTTGCCATGAGCCTTGCGGAAAGCTTTAATGCGTTCTTGCTCTTTAGGGATTTTGGAGGCAAGGATAGATTTTAATTCGCAAGCGAAACGCTTGGAAATATGTTGAAGCGGTTTAATGCGAAGCATTTTTATGATTGAAATGACAGAAGGCTACCATGATTTGATTTTACCGGGGTAAAAACGCAGAAAATTTCCAAACTGTGTTAATTTTAATAAGAAAACACACTGAAAATTGCGAAATTCTCACTTCGGCCGATAAGTTGTAGTTGTATTGTAAATCTACAAATAAATAAAAGCAAAATCTTAATTTTGCGAATGATTTGTGCCCACTGAGATTGTAAACCGGAATCTTCCCGAACATTGGTTTTGATTCAATATAATCAACCCTTCAATTAGTAGTCTCTAAATTTGAGACATTTTATCTCCTTTTTAGAATATTGTTTTCCTTTTTTTTTAGGATTTGTAAATAAAACATAGTCGTGATCTTGCTCACTTTATTCATGGAATGTGCAAACAATGCTCAATTAGTACATGACGTAACATATCTTGAGTAGTAATGTGTATAATGTAAGTTTAAATAGGTATACGTAATAAAAAAATAAAATAATACATAAAAACGTCACTTTGTTCTCAAACGAAACATATCACAAAAAAACCTCGATGAAGCATGCAAAGAGACCACAACCTCTGAAATTGCCACATCTAAGCACATCACAACGATTATTTGGCTACAAAATAGCAGAAATGTCCATTACATTCCTGATAACGCATCAAGCGACTATATCAAAGCTACTCCAGTAAAATAACTGTGCATAAAAAAACCTAACGATAAAATTTCACTTCGGTTTCGACGCAATCCTTGAGCAATTCGTCGAATTCGGAGAGGTCATCGCCGACATTTGCCAAAACCGCCTCCAATTCATTCACGCAATCGGCCTCCATGTTCCTTAACAAAGACTGAACGTCGCTGCCCCTTTTCACCGCTTGGGAATGGAGCGAATAGAGGGTATGAGGGGCCGTTTTGTCGCTTTCGGGACACTTCGTATGGTTTGAAATGACCGCGTTTGGGGAAAAAATAAACGGTTTGTAAACGGAAACAGAAGGGTCTGGAGTGGCGGTGAACCAGTGCACGCTTGGACGCGAGGAGCTCAAAACTGAGACCTGACTGCCCTGAGTCGGAAAAGGGGCATCACAGCGTCTGCAAATTTCCGAATTTTTGTCTCTTAGAATTGCAAACATATCGGTTTCTTTGAAATTATTAGAATTTGTGTATTTTGCTAGTAGTTTTTCACCGGCCAAATACCGCGCATCCCCAGGCCGTTTTTCGCCACTGAAGGCTTCACAAAAGTTAAATTCGCTCTGAAAATAGACTCAATAATAGGAAATTCATTAAAATAGCAACGAAACGAACCTCTCCATTCCATAAACCTTTCGATTTCGCGTACTCCTCTAATCCTTCAGACATTTTATCTATTTTTGTAGTAATAGTCAACACGTTTGATATATTTCTATATCCACCTTAAAACATATAAAAAAAAATGAATTCAGACAGAGCTCAGAATCGTTTTTTTTTTATCTCACTTGTGACTTCAACAGCAGCCCAATGTTTGCCCGAAGTTTCCAATACCCAAGCCGTGTTAGGATCAGCTATTAGAAACGAATTATGATAGGTAAAATTAGGGTCAGTGTGTGAACAAGGGCCCCCTTGTCCGTACTTTTCTAATAATTGTGTTATAACATCCATGGCTTCGCCCGCAGAGGCCCCTCTTTCCAACCCTAATCTAAAAATCCCAGTAGGCTCATGTCACAAAACCAAAATTTCTCAAAGGCTGTCATAATTGTCAGACTTGTCAAAATGATTTCTTACCGAACCAAATCCATGCCTATAAGTCTTTTGACTGTGGGGTCATGGTCCCCCTCGTTGTCGTTCGTCCAGACCGCCTCATTCCCGATGACCACTCCACATTCGTTAGCCCCCATCTCGGCGCCCCACATCCATCCCGGCTTGCTCAAAATGACCGCCTTGGTGGCCCCAGTCGACTCGATTTCGATGTAAGTGCACTAAAACACAGTCACTTCATGAAATGACAATTAGGGGGGCTTACTTTGACAGGTTCCGAAGACTGTGTTGCTGGTACGTAAACCACTTCCTGGACCTCTCCTTGAGGCCGATCTGAGTTTTTGCCGAAAACGACTCCGTGTTGCGTCAAAGGTGGCAACACCACGAAAGTGTCACACGACTGGGGGCGGCGCATCTGGGGGCCCGAATTAGTACCACGAAAGGGGGTTAAACGCACTTACTTTGACAGAAAAGGTCACTGATCCGGGTTAAATGGCGAGCGACTGACTCACCACCAGCTGGTAGAAATTGATATAAATTGGGACCAACACAGGCCGTCCTGTTCTAACACAGGGGAAAGAGTGAGATATTAAGGGAGACGAAGGTGGATTTGCTGCCGACAGGCCCCCAAAACAGTGGCGTAACGGAACTTTTTGCATCATTACATGGACAAAGAATTTAATTGGGGTTCCGCTCGGTTTGGCATTGCATTTCTCAAAAAATTGACACACATTCTTTCAGAGAAATGCCGAATTTCACCACTTTTTCTTGGCAAAATTGAAATCAAAATACGAATTTGTCTTGAAACGTTTATTTTACAAATTGGCAATCTGCAATATAGGTAACCTCATTCATTTGGATTTTGGCACGGTCAGAGCTGACTATGATCTTTGCACTTTAACGTTTGTATAATTGGTTGCATAACCTCCGGGTGCAATAGGGGCTCCACGTGTCTCGTCCCATGAACTTTACGATGTCTCCCGGTAGGAATATCCGTCCTTGGCTGTCTTGTGCGCATGTCAACGTCCATCGTACCGAATCTTACATTTTTCCGATGATCACTAGCCGACGCCGCTGCGGGTGACAGAAGCACGTTTTTGGTGTGGTGTTTTGAGTAAAAATTCGCAAAGTATTTCGGGTTGTAAACATTCACGATGGCACTGTTCCGTTTTACAGCAACAAAATTGGCCGAAAGTCAGGTAAGCGTGACATGACCTGGTTTCCTAAAAACGTTTCATATTTTCTTTGGGCGCCCTCCGAAATTTGTCTCAGTGTCTTTTTAAATGTTTTATTGGATTTTATGGCCATCATAAATAACATAATTGTGTGACTTTGTCTTGTGATGTACTTATGACCCCGGAGATCCCCGAGTGGTGGATTTTTTTTGGTGGGAAAGACGACAGCGAACACGTGAATTGAATTTTTTTCTGGTTTTGTAGACGTAGAAATGTTTTTTCGTGATTATACGGGAGTTACGTAAGAAGAAAAATAGGTTGGTATTGAAGCTAATACCTTTATGCCTAATTAAAACCCAAGACGAGTAAACAAGTGGCCCGGGTAGAATTTAGAGATTTTTCAACCAAGCCTTTAAGTTGCCACGCGTGACGCTCATAAAAAATAAAACGTCCTTTAAAAACGACACGAAACAATAATTTGTCGATTTGTTAGAAACTGGAATTTAAGGTCGACCTCTGTGTTATGCTATTGACGAGTTTATTGTCATTATGTTGGCAATTGTGTTGTTTTACCCGCGCTCGTTAATTAGGGGACCTCCCAAAAATCACATTCGAGACGTCGTCAACTTTGATTTAAATTCATATTATAGATACATGTAAAACACTCATTACTATACAACCTTATCAACCTAATTACTTTATTCTAAAACAATAGCATAAGTATGTACAATTGTTTCATTCTTTTTTTTTTGACTAAAGTACGGAAAATTGTCTCGGTAAATGATTCACTCTTATCAGTTTTATGTGACGCGGGTCGAATAAAGTATTAAAAGGATGTTTTTTATCTCGTGTTACGTAACCATAATTACTTAAAATTTGGTCTAGTTTCATGTGGAATCTCCTTTCTTATCACATGACATTGTCGTCTTTAAATTAGTTATGACACGAAATTAGGAATTTTTCTAGGACAAGAAATAGTGCGTGGGTATACACAGTTGAGAAAATATTTGATTTGTGTGAATAAATAAAATTTATACACGCAATTTCAAAAGGCGCTTGCAAAATTGTTGAGGCTAAAAATAACACGACATAACCCTATAGTATGCTCACTTTTGATTTTTGAACGATAAAGTTGAAAATTTATATCGAATTTATAGGTATTTTTCAGATTATGGCAGTGTATAAAATAATTATGTAATTTCTTTTTTTTTGTTTCTGAGTATTCATCAATTCGTTGAACGTTGTTTTAATTAATTAATTGCAATTTTATCCATATTTGCATTGATCTTAAAGATGATCTATACCCTAGTTTTTGATGTTAAAAAAATAATACGTAGCAGTACTCTCAACTAGAGTTTGTGGAAAAAAAATATACACATGATTTATTTGTTATCTTTTTTTAGGTTTTGCAAAGTTTAATATTTTTACGGGTGCTTGGTAACAGCTTAGGTAAACTATCAAAACAAATGTTTGGGGTTATTTTAACTGATTAAATTAATCCTTTTTAATTCTTTCCAAGTTATTTATTACTTAATTTGCTATCATTGTTTAATAAATAAAAAAAATCTTTCTCACTTAAAAAATTAAAATGTTCGAATTGCATTGCTGCCACATCATAAATGTGTCAATGGTACCAACGGAATGTTTTTTTTTTTTGTTATATAACACCTGTTGTATCAGTTCCCGTAAGCTGAAAGTTTTTTGATGGTCATCTGTGTGTAGCGTTCAAGGTTACTTATGTAAACAGGAGGAATTGACCGTGCATAGATAAGAATTGAAACTGTAGTATAATTAATTAGAATAATTACTCCGCGTTGATTCAAAGGCGATTAAAATTATCTCTCCTCGTGCAAAGACTAATCGAATATAAATAAGTGCCAAGTCCATTTTTGCTCTTACTTTCTTTTTGGCTTTTTTCTCAGTTAAACAAACAGTTTACGTAATTGCATTTAATAAAAATAAACATTTTGATCATAAAATTAAAGAAATTGCTGCGGTAGGTCAGGTTTTTATTATCCTCGTGTTGTTGGTACAAGTCAAACAGTAACCCGATCACGTTGTCGGCACTCGGGGGCTACTTTATCGTCGATTTTTAACCTCCCATTTATCTCCACGTGAATTCGTATCCCTGTTTTCCTGCAACCACGCTTTATTTTTAACTAAGTTATCTGCTTAAAGGTCTGTGCGTCCGTAACCTACGTCCGTTCTATTTTCGTTTCGATATTGTTTACGAATGTTTTCGATCTAAATGTATCCCGAATTCGAAGTTTGCAACGTTCCAAGACAATTTATTATTTTGTTCCACTTGATCGATAACATGGCTGCTTATCTAAACGCAATAAATACTTGAAAACAATTAGAATTAGTAGTGACTTTTTATCTTATCAACGTCACGGGAATTATAGGCGTTTCCACTGCAGTCAACAATTGTAAAAACTAAAAATGCAATTTTTTTTTTTAGAAAATTGTCCCTCAAATATCGGTGTTTTTGCGACAACTCAGCGATGCCTCAACCGACCTCAAAGCGGTCCTCGCCGCCAAAATCCCCAAAGAACAAGAACGTGTCAAAAACTTCCGTAAGAATTACGGAAATCAGAAAGTCGGGGAAGTCACCGTCGATATGGTAAACCACCGAAATCTCCCAAATCTGTCATATCTGTCGTAACTTTTACAGATGTATGGTGGCATGAGAGGCATCAAAGGCCTCGTTTGTGAAACTTCGGTCCTCGATCCAGACGAAGGTATTCGATTCCGGGGCTTATCCATCCCCGAATGTCAAAAATTGTTACCCAAAGCTCCCGGAGGCAGCGAACCACTACCTGAAGGACTTTTCTGGTTGCTGATCACCGGGGACGTACCTACCGAAGCTCAGGTTCGTGTGTCACTAGTGTTTTTCGATTTGTAATGTTGGTATTGATAGGTGAGGGCCATTTCGAAAGAATGGGCCGACCGTGCAGAGTTACCGGCACATGTGGTCACACTGTTAAATAATTTGCCCACGAATGTGCATCCCATGTCACAGTTGTCGGCTGCCATCACGGTGTTGAACAGCGAAAGTAAGTTCGCTAAGGCGTATTCGAGCGGTGTACACAAGTCTAAATATTGGGAGGTTGGGTTTGTCAGATTGGTAGTATTGTTGGCGCTAAATGTAAATTTCTAGTACGTTTACGAAGATTCTATGGACTTGATCGCGAAATTGCCGGTGATTGCAGCGACTATTTACAGGAATACGTTCAAGGATGGGTCTGGTATCGGTGCAATAGACACTTCCAAGGACTGGAGTTACAATTTCACGCAAATGTTGGGTTATGATAATCCCGAGTTTGTTGAACTTATGAGACTATATCTCACGATTCACAGGTGATTTCATAAATTTAAAAGACATAATACGAAATGAGGATTTTAGTGACCACGAAGGCGGTAATGTTTCGGCTCACACTGTGCATTTGGTAGGGTCGGCTTTGAGTGACCCCTACCTGTCTTTCGCTGCCGGTATGAACGGTCTTGCTGGACCCCTCCATGGTTTAGCCAACCAAGAAGTACTCCTCTGGTTGCAAAAAATTCGCCAACAAATCGGCGACAAAGCCACTGAAGAGCAACTCAAAGACTTCATTTGGAAGACGCTTAAATCGGGTCAAGTTGTCCCAGGTTACGGTCATGCCGTCTTACGTAAAACTGACCCCAGATACACGTGCCAGAGAGAATTCGCTTTGAAACATCTCCCTAACGACCCCCTCTTCCAGGTAAAATACGCTTAGTAAGACAGGAAGGCAGTTAGGAATTTTTGCATGTTGCAGTTGGTATCGAACATCTTCAAAGTGGTTCCCCCAATCTTGCTCGAGTTGGGCAAAGTGAAGAACCCATGGCCCAACGTGGACGCCCACTCCGGCGTGCTTTTGCAGTATTACGGACTTAAAGAAATGAATTATTACACTGTTTTGTTTGGGGTTTCCCGCGCATTGGGTGTGTTAGCATCGCTGGTCTGGGATCGGGCTCTCGGTTTGCCGATCGAAAGGCCGAAATCGTTGTCAACAGATGGTCTCATGAAGGCTCTCAAGGCCGCTTAAATCACTTTAATATTCCCCGCTGTACTTAAGCTAAGCGTCCGGTAGAGTTGGGGTTGGACGATCGTTAGAGGATGCTTATCGAAATTGTTATCACTAGAACTTTTACCTGCTTTTTATGAATTGTTTTGTTGTTAATATTTTTAACAAAATGTCCTATTTATTTTATTTATAGAGCAAGCAGCTGAGAAATTTCATATTTGTAAAGAATTAGATATTTATTTCAGTGGCATAGCCGACGAACCATGTACAGTTTTAAAGCAGTTGTAAACAAACAACAAATAAGACAATATACACTCATATCATCGTCACATGTCTTATTTTACGGAAATTGTTCATTCATTACACATGGAATTCATTTTATAAAATTCGTAAACTTAATAAATTCCAATTTCATACAGAGGTTGTTGTTTTATTAATCGGTCAAAACCCATTCTTTTTAAGTCGATTGTTTTGAATTTTCCGTCGAGAATTAATTCGGCTATAGCTAAGCCAACAGCAGGCGATTGTTGGATCCCTGTAAAAAAAGTATAAACAAAAATCTGAAAGAAATAAAAAATTGTAATTACCATGACCGCTAAATCCGGTCGCAAAAAACAAATTTTTGAAAGTACTATGTGGCCCAATAATTCCATTAGCATCAAAAGTATTGTATTCGTAAAAACCGCCCCAAGCACTTTGCACTTTGACGCTTTCAAAAGCAGGGATTCGGGCAGCTAAAAGTGGCCATACTGTATTGTCAAAATAGCTAAAATCGACTTCTAAATTGTCGGCTGGGGGTTCTTCGTGCGAATCAGGTGATCGCCCCCCGATGAAAACAGGACCGTCTTTGCGAAAGTACACTCCTGTATAGTCAATCATTAGGGGCGAGTTTACCGGCGGGACGTTTTTGCCTTGACTGTCAAAGCGATAGACGTAGCGTTTCCTTAAAAAAAAAACGGTTCCAAATTGCGGTGACGTCAAAGACGATTTATGTACCTTGGTTCTACAGGAAGCGCCACTGATAAGTCCCCCTGCCCCGTCCCGATCCCCGCCATCCTGGCAATGGCCCCGGATTCCGCCCCAGCCGCCAATACACACGTATCAAATTCAAAAACTTTTTTGTCCTGGTTCGGTAAATGGACTTTTACGCTTTTCAAATTTTTATCATTCGAAAAAATAAAGTTTTTGACTTCACCCTGTACAAACTGTGCACCTTTACTAACTGCGGCACTTTTAAATAAAGTCAATAGCCCCCAAGGATCAAACCATCCCTCTTTTTCACATCCCATGCATCCTAATTCAATATCGTCAACGTTGAGCCACTTTAATTTTTCACGGAGTTGGTCTTTAGTCATTAGTGTGTTTGTCGATCCTAACTCTTGTTGCAGTTTAAAGTTTTGGGCGAGCTGTTGGGCCCCCTGGGGGCTAGCAAGGATTAAATACCCGTTGGGGGCATAAGAGATATCAGCTTCGGGTCCGAATTGGTTTTTGAGATTTTTGATAAATTTGGCCCCAAATAGGGACATTTGTATGTTTTCAGGGATGGAAAATTGCTGTCTTATTCCTCCAACGGAGCGACTTGTTGAACAATTTGCATACTAGAATTGACAAAATTATGAGGTGGAAAATTGTGATGGAGTTCCAGTACTGTTGGGTCTTTTTCAATGACGGTAACATTGCAGTTACCTGATTTCTGTGTGAGCCAATAGGCGGCAGAGGCCCCCATTGCGCCGCCGCCAATTATCACGACTTTGGTTGAAGAGTTACGAAGTGATAGAGTGATCGGATGATTTCTTTTTTGGACTCTTACGCAAGAATTATCTTTACGAAGACTGCGTAATACTTTTGTGGCTTGTCGCGTGAACATTTTTCTACAAACTAGAGATATTTGAAAACAGAAAGATGAACTTGACAATAGTTTGATAATGGTCTATCTTATCTCTGGAAATGTACTTTATAAAACAGTTATTAGTATTAGCATAACATGCGGTTTTTTACTAATCTTGTGTGGCTTTTTCAATGGCGTTTATTTGATTTTTATTACAGAATAGTGTTCTGATTAGACAATGTAAAAAAAGATTGTACAATTAAGCCGACATCACTATGCAGTGGAAATGAATAACAAAAATGATTTTTGTACTATTTTTCTTATTTCAAATTTTTCAAGATGGAACAAGAATTTGTGGTTGATAAGCCACTGGTGGTTAGGATAAGGGGTTTCCTTCCTATTTGATTAAGAAAAGTCGTTATTTGGATCCAATTTCAGTTTTCAGTGATACAAAATGACGAAAGGTTCTTACAGTGTTGGTGACAATAACCACCAACCTTCAAGAAGAGATACTTCTTATAAATCATTTATTTGTGTCCTTTTAATTTTTTTGTTTATTTGTTTGGTAATTCTATTAGCTGCTATTGGTTGGGGAAGTGGGCGTAATTATAATAATCGGGAAAAAGTTCATAAAGAAACATCAAATCAAGAGGTAATTTTATTTATGCGTTTTTTGTATTTAAGTCTAATGAAATGACTAGGACGAAAGCCAAGCTGAGGTTTTGGAAAGGAAAGGTTTAAAGCAGAACAATACTTTTGAAAAAATAATCGTTGTTGAAACCACGACTCTACTGAATAAAATAGCGAATATCACTGAAAAAGCTGAAAGCTCGACAATTGGTCTAAAAGCGACGACTGAGGATATTTTGGAAGAAACGACGGTATATTTAGTAGGTGTTAACAAAGAATTCTCAACAAGTGGGACTGTGGAAGAGAATACAAAAAAAAGTCTTGAACCTGTAACATCTAGCACAGCTTTGGAAGAAGCTACAACTGAAGATATTTTGAAAGAAACGGCTGTATATTTAGTAAGTGTTAACAAAGAATTCTCAACAAGTGGAGCTGTAGAGGAGAATACGAAAAAAAGTCTTGAACCTGTAACATCTAGCATAGCTTCAGAAGAAATTGAAGTAACGACACAGGAAATAGTAGTTACAACAGATTATATACAACAAAAACTTATAACAAACTTGGAAAAGCTGAATACGACTCAAGTTACAGAAACTGTAACAAGTGGGTACGACCAAAATTTGGTTGATGAAAAATTTGTTATTACTACAACGGAGTTTTCTGAAACCAATACTTTGGCACCTGTTGCTACCAAAGCAATTTCGGAAAAGTAAGTCACTAAATAATTTTGAACAAAGTGTCATGATTTTTTTCAGAAATGTTTCTACTGAAAATTTGGCTGAATTGCTTTCAACTTCTACTGACAAAGCAAATTCAGCCCCAACTTTTCCAACTTCAACCACAGAAGTGTCAGTCATGGAATCAGAAGCAATAACCGAATCGATTCCTGAAAAAACGCACTCCGCTTTGACTAGATCCTCAAACCCAGTCTGTGAAAGTATTATTTGCAAAACTACATCTTCGCGAATTTTAAGTATGATGAACCATTCGGCCGATGCTTGCGACGACTTTTACGAATTTGCTTGTGGCCGAGTGTACGAAGTTGAGGAGGAATCTGTCGAGTTTTACGATGCTGAAGTGTTGACGAATCAAATGAATTTGATTAAAGATTCGTCTCCCAAATATTTGAAGGATTTCAAACAGTTTTACCAGAGTTGTCTCCAACACGAGGATGATTTCAATTATCGACCACGGATGAATAAACGTAAGAAACGTAATTTATTGTATTAAAATAAAAGGCAATTATTTCGTAGTTGAGTTTTTGCTGAAAGAAGTCGGAGAGTTTCAGTTTGGTGATGATTCCATTGAGGTTGATTTAACTGATCTCGTGGCTCAACTCCTTCTACGTCAGTCCATGCCACTGTTTGACATCGGATTAGACGTAGACAAACACACTTCTAATTTAATTCTCCAAGTCTGTAAAAATCACAATTAGCCTTTTTTTACACTCTCATTTCAGTTAACACTACCACAGCAAAGCTTTCTTCGCACCGGGACACAAAACTGGTCCGGATTGTCGCTCCTGAAAAAACAATGTCTGAAAAAATTAAACTCATTAATACGCGGTTCTCACGTAGATTTAAACGAAACATACAAATTATACCAAAAATGTCACCACAATTACAGAACTTATCTCAATTCTATCGAATTTTTGATGCGAGAATTGAAAGCGTTCCAAAACTTAACATCCGAAGTTCTTTTCAAGGAAATAGTAGCCACGAGACAAAATATAGAATTTGAAGTCTTGAACAACCTTGATGTGAGTTAAACACAAAACATTTTCAACAATAATCAACAATAATTTTCTAGTCTTTACCGTCAACAGCGGATATTTTACGCCAATTTATTCAAAAAAAATACGAAGTGCGAAAACTATCAGATCTGAAATTCCATTACCCGATTTTGGATTGGATTAAGCTTTTTCAAACAATGACTGGGCGTATAATCAGCGAAAACACCGTAATCCAAATTTATTTCAGCGATTATTTCAAGCAAATATTTTCATCGCTTTCAAAAATTGACAAGAAGTGAGTTTAAACATTTTTTCCTACATTCAAAGTAATTTTTTTAGGAAATTAAACAACGCCCTATTAGCAATTTATGCCTACGATTTGTACATAAACACAGTCGTACCGAAAGAAAAATTCACTCGTGAAAAATTCTGTACGGGCTTGTCGAAACAATTATTTCCGGAAATTTGGTCCCATTTGGTCCACAATTCAATTTCAGTTGAAGAACAAGAAAAGTTAAACAATCAAGTTGATAATATCTTCGGGGTTTTGAAGAAGAATTTTTGTAAGAAACTTCTCACCGCTGAATGGATTGATGACGACACAAGGACTTCAGTTGTGACCAAATGTAATAATTTGAATCTGATTTTTTTCACTCCATCTAATGAAACCACTTTAATTAATAATTACGAAAATGTGAACGTCACTTCAAATTTTCAAACGAATCTAATCAACAGTCTTATTCATTTCAAACAGAGGATTTATTCAACACAAGAGACACCAATTTCGGCTAAAACATTGTAAGTGAGGAAAAACACTAACGTGGTTTTGGGACATTTTATTTTACAGATTTTCTTATTTTGTGGATCCCCTCGACAGCAAACTTTTAACATTTTATTCAAATTCTTTAATTGGTAGTACTTTTTTCAATTTTATTAATTAATTGTGCTTATGCAAACGTAATTTTTAGCTGTTCCTTTAGGCTTGATGCGGAAAGCTCCTGAAAGTCTCCCAAACTATTTAATTATGTCTCGTGTAGGCCTGGCTTTAGCCCGACAAATAGCCCTGCATTTTGACCCCACCGGATTGACATATGGAATTAAATTAAAATCGTTTTCGAAATCGACCTATTCTGAATTTGTAGAAACCATGAAAAATTTAATGGACTACTCCAGCCCTAGACTATTCGACGGAAGAAACATCAGTTTCAGTCTGAACGGATTGTTATCAATGAATGAAAGAATAGTCGATAACACAGCTTTCCGACTAGTTTTTGATTCCTTGAATCTAAATCCCGATCAAGACATTTTGCCCTGGATTTCGGCACAATATTCAAGGGAAAAAGTTTTCTTCATAGCGACGGCTCAAGGTTGTTATTTTTACTGTGTGCACACTAATTAATTAATTGTTTTAAAGAATTTTGCAAGAAAACGACAATCTTAGATTTCATGTTGCACGTTTTTGAAAAACGGCACTTGCCGGCTGTTCTTCGAGTCGAAAATATTATGGGAAATTCCGAGGATTTCGCGAATAAATTCACTTGTCCTGATGGCTCAGGAATGGATTTTTATGTTAAACTGCAATTTCCTTACTTGAACAAGGTTGAAGAAGAATACGAGGATGAAGAAGCATTGCAACAGAATAAATAATTTGCAAAAAAAATATTATCCAATTCGTTTTTTATAAATAGATGATTTAAAGGAAAAGACCGTTTTTTTTTACTGTAATTAAATAAGTCCGATAAGTGTAATCCGGGAAGTTGGCGATTACGTTAAAAAATTATATAACTGATAAAAATTGAGACAATCTGGTGGTTTGAAAATTTCCATCAGGAAATGATAACCAGAGATTTCCTGCAAAATTTGATTCTAACAATTGATGTCAGGTGACACCACATGTAACAGATTTGTGATTCCTGCAAAAATCCTGCAGACCAGCTGGGAAATAAAAGTTTACGCGATCAGATGTCGCCACAAACTCATGTTATTAATGTTATAAAAAAATATCACTTATTATTACATTAATAATACAACATATTTACTGTAATGTTTGTAGAGGGTGTATCAATAAATGGATATGGAATTCTTAATAAAACTTCTGTATTTTCAAATTATGACTTGTTTATAAATTAATTGTAACTTGAAGTAACTAACAACAGTAATTCCCATGTGTACTTGATCACTTGATTACTTGATCCAGAACACTTACTAATTTCAGTTTTCTATAATAATAATAAATAACTTTTTTAGAAATTTAACAACGCAAATATTGATTCCATAGTTTTGTTTTCTTTTTTCTTTTTTATTTTTTATATTTATTGATCGTTTACCTAATATTAATAAATAAGTACAAGAAACTACACTTTTAACTTGTATATTAACCTATGAAATTAAGTTTGTAAATCAACGCTATTGCTACATTAGCAAATAATCACAAAATGTTATTTATACAAGGTGATTCACGAGGAACAAATAATGAGCCTGACCAAATTCTCGATGCAACCACTATTACTCTTCGCAAGTTATTTTGCGACAACTGTAATGTTGGCTGCATCGAAAATTTGGTCAGGCTCATTATTCCTCGTGAATTAGCCTGTATGTATGTAATGTTTGTTAGAGTACAAGCGAACGTAATAAGGAAGAGAAGCGAATAACTTAAAAACCATACGAGTTTACTAAGACGACTTTTCTAACGAGGCTGCGTTTACATTTTTTTATATTTGTTTTTTGTTAATGAAGTTTTGTTTTCATGTAAAATTCATTTTTCTAAATGATTTCGAATTACTAAACTTTTCCTGTCTAATATCTAAGTTTTTTGTAATTGAAAATCTAAAATTCTTAATCTTAGGAGTACATAAAGGGTGCGCCAGAACTCGCGCCCCAGAGAAAAATTTCAAGTAAGATAATGGAAGGAATATGAAAAGAATGTTTAAAAAATTCTAAAATTCTGACATTTATTTTTGCCATTTAACATTTTTTTATGTCTATTTAATGATACTGATGATCTTGGATATGTTTTTTTATAATTATTTAGTAAATGTACAAAAATGTTGCCAATAAAAGCGAGAAATAGCATTAAACAGAGTTACAATTTAGGATACAACTTCCTTGTTTACTTTGTTAATAGCCTGTAGCAAAAAAACTTGCAAAATTATTTTTCCAACAGATATGAATAGAGCAAAGTGCAAAATTTAAACTTTCATATCTTCAAAATTTTTATAGGTAGATGGGATTTTTTAACATTTTTTCCATGTTCCTGGTATCGTACCTTACATATTTCCTTGGGGCGCGAGTTCTGGCGCACCTCTGTCTATTACTTTTTAAATTACTTATATGTTTTTCTTCACTTTCGCTGACTTTACACCTGTGTCACAGTGGAATGTTCAAACTACCGAAAAATTGTAGGCTGAGTGTTATCGAGTGGCCAATTTTGCTTGATTTTTATTAACCTATATTTTTATCAAATTTCCAAGAAAGATATTTTTTAACTGTTATAATTGTCAAGCGGAAGGATGTTTGTTAAAGTTAAAGTTTCGATAAACAAAGAGAGAAAATATTATTAGACCAATCGTTTCTTAATTCTTTATGAATTAAGTTGGGTATTTGTTTTTTTAACTTTTAAGCATCAATTGTCGATTTTTTTTTAAACTATACTTAGCGCTGGCATACATAGGTGTCCCACGAGTAATAATAAGCCTGAAAAAAATTTTGAAGCAACCAACATTACATTTCAAAGATAACGTGGATATTAAAATATTTTGTTTTAATTAGTTAAACATAGTAATCGTATAGTCTATAATCGTATATAATCGTATAATCGTAATAGTATTTTTATTTTTGACAAATTTTTGTCTGTCAAAATGACTACTCCAGTTTTCGGGGGCCCGTGTATTTGGATCATATTTGGATATCACGTTGTTTAGAAACGTGAAACGTGCCGTCTGTGAAGCGTTTTTTAAACATTCTTCATAAATTAGAATCTTGTTGGTCTTTTCGTCAACATTTTAGTAATTCTCATCAAATTCTTCAAGGTTTGACTTTTTATAAATTAAAGTTGAAGTTATGTTTGGTCACTATGTTTAATTTATTAAAACAAAATATTTTAATATCCACGTTATCTTTGAAATGTAATGTTGGTTGCTTCAAAAATTTTTTCAGGCTCATTATTACTCATGGGACACTTGTGTATCTTTTACCATTTCAATCGCCATTCTGTCACTTTTCTCTATAAAATAGTAGCTATTTAGACTCACAAATTTTTGTCAGTAGGGTCTAGCAAGTTGTAACACAAGTTCTTCTTTTACGCGGAAATCAAATATTTGCGACCTATTTCCCCTCAAAAAAACGCAGTTGCGACGTTGCCATTGTGGCGATAGAAATGGCACGAAGTGTATGTCGCAACAATTTTCTCGTGAAATTGCGCTGAAATATGTTCGCTTTTTGCGTGCTAAGGTGTGTATCACGTCTTGAAGAATCTGCTGAGTCGGCCATGCAGATAAGTTATCAACGCAGTTGAGCGGCTTAATAATTCATCTTCCAAGTCTGTGAAGTTGTAAGTAACTCCGAGACAACCCCACAACTTTGAACCAAAATAGTAATTTAGTGAAACTCTATCGATTCGCATCGAAATCTACAAATCTGCTCCACTTATTCGGATTCGATTTGTAATTCGAGAAGTGGAAACCTCCTCGAATCCGACTGTCCGCCCGAATTAACTATATTCGATTTAGCGTTTAAGTCTCGAGTTTGTTTTGAGTACTTTTGCATTTGCAGTCTGTTTGTCTCTCCTGTCAAATTCACCGCAATAAATAAAAATGTCTCAGTGGAAATCGCGCTTTTTACGCGGCGCGCCGCCAAAACACCGAAAAATGAAGCTTGGTTCTTAAATAAGATTTTTGGCCCCGTTGACACATTAAGCGATTTTAAGTGATTAATAGTAGCGCGTATAAGCCCCAGTTAATTAATATCCCATCAGTGGGCCCTACCATCGTCGATATCTGTATATTGCTATGTTTGCCGATGAATTATTCATAAAGGAGCGCCACCGCGAATTTAAATCTCAAGATGCGTGCTCGAGATACTCTCTCACCCCCTTCGCTAACGCCGAAATGACGTGCCACAAATTATAGTGCCATTCTTTCCTCTTTCCGGTTCGGAAAATCGCGATGCATCCGCAATCGCTGTTTATAACTTCATAAAACACAAGATGTGAGCCGAGACTGATTGCGACCGCGTCTTGATTGAGTCGCAGGGGCGAGGGATCATAGGGGGAAAGTGCTAGTTTTTCTAATTGAAAATCAATTTTTTGGGGACTGATAACACGACAAGGCAGATGCTCTTATTAACGCCATAAAAATGCGGAATTAATTTTTTTCGCTTTTTGAAATATATCAAAAAATATAGACAAAAGTGATGATGGTTAAAATAATCTGTTTCTGTAGGTATTTTTCAAGTAGCTAACTAATTAACTGGAAGCATATTTTAAACAAATAAAAGAGTTTATAAAGAAAAAGAATTGGTAGATTACATTATCTAAAAAGGTCATATTTTTGTTTTTTTTGCTCATTTTTAAACTTTCTCATAAAAATTACAAAATGTTTATGGATTTGGCACAAAGTTTACTTGCTACTTCTATTTAAATAATAGGTTTTTAGGAATCATAAAAATAATAAAAATTTAGTCTTGTTTATTTCTGGAATTAATCTGAATTTAAGCAAAATTGATCAAAATTTTATTGTATCAGAAGTATCAGAAAAGATGGCCAAATTTAACTTTTTTTCTGCGGTGACAAATTTTTTTGAGAAATTACTAAACTGATTCAATTAGTGCAATAAAAAATAGAAGAAACAGTACACATATCTAACAAAATTGGAAAAATTCTAAGCATTTACAGTTTGTTTTTTGTTTTATTTATAAATTTATAGAAAAGTCATTTGTGTTTTCTATAAGTTGTTTTTTTAATGTTATTAAATAATAAAAAATTTGAAAACATATTTTAAGTCAAAAATCGTTCTAAAGCCATGTATTTCAACGAAATAAGTGCAGTTTTCGGCCAAAATAAAGCGACTTGAGCTATATTGAAATAAGTAAAATATTAAGTGTGAATGTATTTTTTAACAAATTGTTTTTTTTTCAAACGTCATTGAAGTGACAATTTTCTGCAGGTACCATAAAAGCTAAAGTGTCCAATGATGTCCAAGCAACAATAACAATAATATTTGCCGCTTAGGCAGTGAAAAGTCCCAACAGGAACTTGGGGATTTAAATTTCACATTATTTATTTGAATAAATCATTAACTATGGCTTCGACCACTTCATATAATTTCGTCATAGAGTTGTTGTGAGTGTTGCACTTTTTGGTCTTGGGAGTTGGAGACGCAACTCTTTGCTGTTTTCCAAAAGAGCGCTTTTCTCACCCCTTAGACTCTCATTTACAGAGTCGTAATCGTGACCACCGTGACCAATTTTTGCGTTTAATTCCACCTCGATGGCATTTGCCGAAATTAATTTGCATATGTTTGATAAATTTATTAAAAATTAAAAAAAAGAATCGAAGAATTGCTGTGTGCAATAGGAATCGCGGTGGACATTTATCCGATATCTTGTTCCAC